GGGGGGGGGATCAGCACTGGTCCCAAGGGTCAAGCAACTGGACCACAGGGTCAAAGCTATGAGGACCCCAAGCTAGGGACAGTGCATGGGCACTGTTCAGACTGTGGAGGCTTAAAGCACACAGGGGATTCGGCAGCTGTCACAGAAGTATAGTGATTGTCCAAGAAGGGGCATTTGACTAGATGCTGTGACAGCATCTCCTTGTCTTGAGCCCTCTCCCAGAATATTCCACATTCAGGGTGGATAAAGGAGAAGTGAAACTGAATCCCAGTTATTGCTTCTAGCTAAAAACCATTCTATAGTTACTAGGTTCCTTTCAGTTCCGTTTTTACCTAAAAGGACAGTATTAGGTAAAAACGATGGGCCAGATTAATGTAACCGCATTGCCCCGTATATTTGCACACAATTGCCATTCCTTTGTTATTAATAATGCCATAGATTATTAAAACTAAGGCCCAATCCTACGACTGGTTGCATGGGCAGGCCCCTGCAGTCATGAAGATTTCAATCAGGTTTTTCATAGTTGTAGTATCCCACTCCAGTGGAGCTAGTTACAGAGTGAAGGGCTTAAAATATTTATTATTGAGCTAGTGTTTGTGGCGTCAGTCCTGGTGAACACAGCCTCTCTCTGCAAAAATGGCAAAAAGCTGCAACTTCTGATCAGATCTGTGCATTAGCATCCAAGTACCAATCTTGTAGAGAGATTTTTGCCATTGTCACAGAAAACTACATTTTGGATGTTCAGGTCAAAACAATGCATTCCCTCTTACAAGACAATAGCCTCTAGTTTTTGCAAACAAAAGTGAAAAATGTTTGTCTTTCTGGCAAACTCACAAAAATCGGGGGCTCAAGCTTAGCAGCTGGGGTCAAGCTGCTGAGTCAGTGGAACTACTCCACTGATTTACACCAGCTGAGGACTTGGCCCTAAGTCACCAATTAGGGCCAGCAATTTCTTTTGCTGAACAATGGTACCATAGTACCATTGCGTCTGATGAAGTGGGCATTCACCCACGAAAGCTTATGCTCCAATACTTCTGTTAGTCTTAAAGGTGCCACAGGACCCTCTGTTGCTTTTTAATGGTACCATAGCATTTTTCTCCCTCTTTCCCAAGCGTTGTTCCTTGTTGTACTTGTTTGTTTTTTCATAATACCAGATTCACATTCATGATGACTCTTTTTTTCCCCCTTTTAATGAAAAGCACAGTAAAACTAAGTGCCATTCAATTTCCATCCACTCCGGGTTTTTACAGCAGTTCATTAGAAGCGCTGAGCAGTGGACTCTCTCTGCAGTCTTGGCTGCAGTTCAATACTGTACGTATTCTTGCGCTAAGATTTACCTCTTACATTCAAAAAGGGCTCTTAAATCAACAAACCCGTTAACATCTTCTCCAGCTCTGGGTGCCTTGGAGATAAAATGCTTGTGTTCTAATGGACGAGTCATCATTGATCTTAAAGAGGAATAGCCTCGTTTGTGCAGGAATGTCCTCCGTAGAACGGTTTCATTTGGCTCGGATTTCAATTTATATTAACATTTCACCCTGGAACTTTAGCATCTTTGGGCTTAATATTGCTCCCATTGAAAACGACAGCCATTTGGAGTCCCTGGAAGCAAGATACTGCCAGATATGCTGTGTTTAAAGTTCTGACTGCACCAACCTGAAATAGCTTGCTTGCATTGTTACAGAAATAAAAATTATATGACACACATGTCAACACAAAACTCATTCAATGCAAGGATCATGAGCTTTTAATTTGTCTTCCAAAGGCAAATACAAACATTTCAGTTAGTGAAGCTTACTATGTAAACTGTTTTACTAAATGTGTTTTATTACTTTATAACCCCATTGTTATTCAGTAAAAAGCATTTGCCCTGATTCTCCACCGCCTTGCAACCTGTCATCACAAATTGAGGGTAAAGAGAGTGAGTGAGTGTGTGTGTGTGTGTGTGTGTGTGTTTCAGAATTTACTGGGCAATGTTCAGATTTCATTTGGTGGCTCCACTATATCTTCCTATGAATGTAAAACTATAGGCCAGATTTATCATTAGTGTAATTCTATTGACTTCAGCTGAGTTACTCCAGTGGTAGTTACAGCCTACTATGCAAAACACTATCTAACATATACGCTCATTAATCAGTGTCATAACTTATCCCAGACATAGCCAGCCCTTAGCACGTCTGTGTCTGCACACTCTTTCCAGCACACGATGTTCCGCCATTTTGCGGGGCTGGGTTATTACATTGCCTTGTACGTCTCTTTGTTCCAGACTGGCAGGGAGTCCAGGATGACCAGCAGCTCCAGTTACCATTTGTCTTACCACCTGTAAAATGATTTTTAAAAATAGATGATAAGGTTCATTTCACAAGCAAGTGAGTCTCAGCTGAAAGCTAAATTGCTTTATTACAGTGGCATGCTGCACTTGAGAGCTGGTGCAAAGTCAACTGAAGTTTCTTATGGGACTGATTCAGAGGCTGCCATGATAAACTTATTCTTTAGACCAGAGATCTAATCCTAGCTATGACACTGGTTCCCTCTGCATCCTTGAGACTTAACTAGCACGTAGGCTTGTTGAGAGGATCAGTGTTTATATGGCACTTTGAAAATAGGGTCTTCTAAAGAATATTTACCCTATTCAGATTGGTAGTCCATTGCTTTTTATTCTGCTTCTCTGATAATTTGCTGGGTTACCATTTGGCCTCTCTTTCCCAAGTGATTGGTGACGTGTCTCAGTGATGCATCTGTCTCACCTCCAAAAGGATAAAAGTTTCAGTCTTGTTCCAGGCAGGTCATCATAGTAATGCTGCCTGGGGAAATGCTGCAGAGATTCTTTGTGGAAGGGTCATTTCAGGGCTTTTTCATTACTGTATACTCTGACTTGCCAGCAGAGTTCAATACTATAGATTATGGTGTCTCTTTAGATTGATGGGAGCACATGATAGGGCTGTCACTGCATATTTTTTTTTATTTACTCAACTGGTCTCTGTGTGTATCACAGACACTGTATTAATCCAGTTGTGTTGAAGTTTGCTATGAAGTCCTGATGGACCCATATGCTCTTACTATCTGTATTACCAAGGCATCAGTTTTCCACTGATGTGGACCCAGGGCCTAACTACTATTGATTTCAATCAGTGTTAGGTGTTTAGGTGCTTTTGAAAATCCCATAAGGTGCCTATCTCCAGCTTTAGGTGTCTAAATCAGGGGTGGCCAATCTGTGGCTCCGGAGCCACATTCGGCTCTTCAGAAGTTAATATGCGGCTTCTTGTATAGGCACCGACTCTGGGGCTGGCGCTACAGGCGCCAACTTTCCAATGTGCCGGGGGGTGCTCACTGCTCAACCCCTGGCTCTGCCCCCATTCCACCCCTTCCCGCCCCCTCCCCTGAGCCTGCCGTGCCCTTGCTCCTCCCCCCTTCCCCTCAGAGCCTCCTGCACACCACGAAACAGCTGATCTGGAGGTGCAGGGAGGGAGGGGGAGGCACTGGGAGCAGGGGTGGGGAGCTGATGGGGGGCAGCTGACGTATTACTGTGGCTCTTTGGCAATGTACATTGGTAAATTCTGGCTCTTTCTTGGGCTCAGGTTGGCCACCCCTGGTCTAAATGCTTTTGAAAATCTGACCTCTAGTCACTATTGTTTTGTTGATAGCATCAAGCATCATCCCTGGCCTCTGCCATGGCTTTCTCAGTTTATCTTCTCTCTCTCTCGTTTTCTCTCTCCCAGTGTTTGCATTGTTGTCCATCACTGTAATACCGATAAATATCCTCCTGCTTAGCAGAGGTCCAAAAGTGGATGTCACATTAGCTCTTGCAAATCAGTACCTCAAGGACGCCTAGGTCAAATGGCTCTAGAAGTCTAGTTCCTCCCAGTGACACAGAGATCAATGAGGACCATCTGGGTATAATGACTCCTTTCAGTCTCCATAGTGAGAGATCAGCGTTCCGCCATTTAAAGGCTATTTCCACACTTCCCCCTCTGTTATTTCTGTCTGACACTCGAAGCGTTGATCCAACCTCCAGTCAGATCATATTTCACGGGCTCCTTGATGGAGCCTGGTGCAGCTCACAACTGCAGCAGAGTGCTGCTATCGGGTTCTGCACATTTCCCCAGCCTTGCTGGAGATTGATTCCTTTCCCTGACGCGTCTGAGATCACACTTGTAACCACAGAAGAAGAAGGATCTAGTCTGGCTTATTGTAGTGATCTACACATGCCTTAAATACACTGAGCGGTGCACTAAGGCCTAGGAAAACTGATCCCTTGATGGGTCTCACAGAGCAGGGCAAAGCTCTGGCTGTTAGAGCTGTTAGCCGGCTGCTATTCTTCAGCTCAGACTTTGCCGTCTCCACCAATTTATGCTGCTGACGTCTCTCCAGCTTTTAAAGCCTCCCTTGTTTAACCTGGCTTATTTATAATAATTACTTGAGCAGTTAATTTTACTCGTTTGCAAAGCCCCTAAGACTGCTTGGCACGAAAGGTGGTTTAGAAGTGAAGGTTTGATTGATGAATGGATTCAAATAGCGGCTGATTAGCATTGCCCAGGGTGAGAGCACAGTTGCTATTTCCTGCCCCCCATTCCTCACCGCCATGTATGCATGTTGTCACCCTACCTTTGCGTCTGGTCTTCTCACAGGCTGGGCCCTCATAACCCAGTGGGCACTGACAAACACAGACGTCCCCGAGAAGCATGGATTCAGCATTGTTCTGACAAGGGCCACAGCGGCAGGCGTTGAACTCTGTTAAGTAATCGTCCAAAGCCCTTTTCAGGTTTTGCCTTTTTGTTTCAATATCATCAAGGTTGCTTCTACGGAGGATTTCATGTATGGGTTGTAGCTGCGTAGAACAGAAGAGAATATGTGGCTGCGATGGATTATAATTGTTTTGGTGAGTGCACAAAAAAGGGGATTTAATTTAATGAGTACAGTTCAACTTATAAAGTACTACAGCCATAGCGTGTTGGACATTTATTGGAGAACCCCCAGAGCTGAAGAAACAACTTACTTTCCTAGACAGCTAGATATGGTGTGTGTACAATATTACAGATGGGCCAAAGCCCTGGTAATTTTGGAGGTGTTGGAATTATTTGAATACTTGGATGTATGTGCATCCCTTTGATTCTGCTCCCAAATCAGCTCCAGGGCCATCCCACAACATTTTGGCACCTGAGGCGGGAAGCTCAAATGACACCCCCATGTCCCCTCACTTGGGCCAAAACTTTGAAAGGTCTCAGTTCTGCCTTCTTCCTGTTCTACTCCTCTCATGGTACTGCTCTGCTACCTACCCCAATAAAGGAGAACTAACAACTTAAAATGCTTTGTTCAAAAATTTTAAATAACACTTAACTTTCAAACGTCTGAACAGCAAATGTAACTTTTCTTGTCTGCGTACGAAACACTGGCATTTTTATCTGTTTGAATAATCAAAGTGGTGCTTTCCGTGCCTTCTTGGTTACAAAGATTTGAACTGCTTCCTGAAGGTCAACAGTCTGGGCCAGCTCATGCTCTATTGAGATGGTTGCAAGGCCGACCAGCCTCTCCTGTATCATTGTGGAGCGTAGATGTGTTTTTATTAACTTCAGCTTGGAGAAGTAGTGTTCTCCACTGGCAACTGTTACAGGAAGTGTTAGAAGTATGTGCAGAGCAACAAAAGCATTTGGAAAGAGGGTGGTCATCTTATTTGTGCACATATATTCCAGAACAGCCTTTGGAGTTGATCCTGCTGAAATGTATCTTGAAAGGGCTTTCAGATCATCACCTAAATCACTCGCATCTATATCATGCATGTCATCATGTGTCAACACTGTCTCTAGTGCCCTGCAATGCTGGTGTAGGTCTTCTTCAGGTATAGTGAGGCGTTTTGGAATATCATACAACATCCCAAATATACTGCTGTGTTCCTTGAGCTGCATGAAACGTTCAACTGACTGTATTGCACAATCTAGCACCTGGTTAAAGAATTCAACTTTGAATTGTTGTTTGGGGTCTCTTATGGGATTATCCCCCGCCCCGTAATCAAAATGTCTTCTTCTTCAGTGACTCTTGAATGGGTGGGAAAATAGCTTCAGTGTGAAGTTCCTCTGCCAACTTCTGTGCACTCTTCAGAACGTTTTGAAATCCCTCATCTGACTGATAAGACTGTAGGTATGACTTTGCTTTGTCCAGTTGTTCCATTGCTCCAGATATATCAAGGTCAACACCTTGGAGTCTCTTGCTTACAACATTTATTTCAAACAGTATGTCATGCCACAACACTAAGCCACACAGTAATGTGAAGTTATGTATGTTTCTGGTTTTTACATTTCCCTCTGCCACTGTTCTCCCACGAACAGTTCCTGTCATAGCATTATCCTCCATAATGGCAACTATGGCACCATCTATCTTCCCAGTTTGGTGTTTGATAGGCTTTATCGCCTCCACTCGACTTTCCCATCATGTGGCACTCAGTGGTTTCAGTGTCAGAGAGGATGGTCCCAGATGTTGCTTCAAAATTTGCCATCAATGAGTTGATGCAAAGAAAACTACATAGATGCTTTGAATTACATTAAAAAATTCAGCAGCCTCACTAGAAGTTGATGCTGCATCACTGACCGCCAAGTTCAATGAATGAGAACTGCATGGGACAAAAAAAGCTTGAGGGTTTAACTCTCGGATCCGTGTCTGCACTCCTCTGTTCTGTCCTCTCATGTTGGCACCATTATCGTAGCCCTGACCTCTCATGTCAGCTATTGCAATTCCCGTATCTTCCAGCTTTTTAAGAAGCACATTTGTCATACCAGCTCCTGTAGTATCATCAATGTTAATAAATTCTAGAAAATGCTCTCTGACAGTCAACATTGTAGGGACATTTTCACTAGGTTCTGTTGTTGCTACAAAACGCACCATTAAAGTCATTTGTTCCATAGGCTGATGTCAGGTGTGCAGTCCAGAATAACAGAGTAATATCTTGCTGACTTCAGATCTGCCACAATCTTCTGTTTGACTTTTGTTGCCAGTAACTGTATGATCTCATTTTGAATTGGTTTTCCAAGGTCATGGTGTGTGTACATTTCTTGGGTGGTAACTCTTCTTAGATGCTCCTGGAGTACAGCATCAAACTCAGCCATCAGCTCCACAATTTTAAGGAAGTTTCCATTGTTTGGCACATACAGCTGATCTGAAGTGCCACGCAGTGCTAGGTTTTGGGAAGCCACCATTCTCACAATGGCAATGAGCCTTTTCAGAACATTTTGCCAGTAAAGAGACTCTGATGCAATCTTCTTTTGATGCTGATCATCTATGGTGGCCTTTAACCTTAGTCTCATCTCAAGCTCTTTCCACCTATGGAATGCTCTCTGGTGATTTGCTGCCTTCTCATGGCATGCCAGATTTCTAGCCAGATTTTTCCAGTCCTTTGTTCCTGTAGAACCCAATGTGGCTGGAACATTAGACTGGAAGAGTTTGCAACAAAAACAGTACGCAGCATTCTGGGTTTTTGAGTACATAAGGCATGGCCTCTCCACTTTGTCACCATTGGGGATTTCACGCCAGTAATGTGTTGGATGGAAACTTCTATTTTCATTGTCTTTGGGGAACATGAAGTTTTTCACTTGCTGTGGCCCATGCAGTACAAGGAAGTCCCTCAGGCTACTGCTCAAGTGGGTCCATAATCCTGGATCATCTAGACTTAAGGAACTAAACTCAGCAGCAGCTGTTTCTTGCGCCTCCACCACACTCTTCTCTGATCTACACTTTTCTTCAGGAATGTGCATGGTTACATCCATTTGAGATGGAGATATGGATGCTGCAGTAGCTGCCAGGTCACCTGCACTCTGACTAACGGGAAGATCGGGCATCTCCTCACCACTCTCATCCTCACTGGGGCTGGAAGGCTCACCGTGAACATTTGTGTCTATGTATCTCAGGAGAGCTCCTTCCTGCTTAGATAGAAAAGCTTCCTTTGCTTTCTTTTTTCTGAATGCTGCCCCAGAGGGGCGTTTTCTTCTTTCACTCATGACTGCTGTTCTGTGCCAGCTGTAGTGGCTCTCAACACTCAACTGAAGGGGACAAATAAGCAGGCTGGTAGTAGGGCCTGAGTGAGGGAAGATATCAGTGTCTTAAGGGCCTAACTGGCTCCTACTACTTCAGTTGACTGCCTGTTCTCCTCAAGTGGATTCAGGGAAGCAGCAGGAAACAGGAAGCTCCCTGAGAAGCTGGTGTTAAACAGTCCAGGCTCCTGGGGGTGCTAGAGAGGTACATAAGAGGCTCCTCCTCCTCTCTCTCCCTGCAGCTCCTGCTGCTTTCTGTTATTCCCTCTCACCTTTTCTCCTGCCTGCCTATTATGTCTCTTGTGCCCTTCTTCCTCCAGCACAGCACTCCACCATCTCTGTGCATCTAGAGCAGAGAGAATACATATGCACCAGCAGCAGACACAATTTTCTACACTCTGGGTCCAGGGCCGGCGCAACCCATTAGGTGACCTAGGCGGTCGCCTAGGGCACTACAATTTGGGGAGCGGTGACCGCGGCAGTATTTCGGCGGCGGGACCTTCTGCCCGCCGCTGTGGGGGGCGGCATTTCGGGGCGGGATCTTCCGCCGCCTAGGGCAGCAGAAAAGCTGGCGGCGCTCCTATCTGGGTCGTAGTGGTGACCCCCCACAGTCTGGCACCTGAGGCGGCCACCTCAGTTTGCCTGATGGTAAGGCCAGCCCTGATCAGATCAAAACCACAAGGGGCCATATTATTTGATTCATATTTAAATGTTCCCACCCACAGTCTTGCAAGAGTTTTCCATGATTTCTGCCATTTTGGACCAGAGTCCTTTGGTAGTAGCTTGTGACGTTTCAGCGCCATCTAATCTAAACTCTAGCCTAACCACCTTAATCAGAGCAGTATCAGTCCAGCATCAATATATACTACACACATGGATCTCTATGTATGAAGCACACATAGTACATACATCCGTGGTACGGTATGATACAGTTAAAACATATTGTGCCATATGAAATATTTAAAACATCATGAGTCTAACAATACTAACATCTAAATCTGCCATGTATTTAGGCCAATATATTCAAATGTGGGTATCTAAAACTATGAACCTAACTTCCATATTTACCCACTTAAATAAAAATGAACTGATTTCCTGAGGTGCTAAGGATCCACCATTCCTATTGAAATGTTCAGCACCCTGAAAAATCAGGTTTTTATTTGGCTGTCTATATAAGGATTTTAGATCGCTAACTTTAGGCACTGAAATTAGCAAAAATTGGACTTAATATCTTTCCCCTTATATGTTTCATATTCATGTAATAGATTTTCTGAAGCACATGACAGTTCAAACAAAGTACATTTTAAAAATCAAGGTTGGCTTTATATGTGTGTGTGTGTGTGTGTGTGTGTGTGTATATATACCTGAATGAGACTGATACATGCTCATCTGATCACACTGGTTGCAGAGACTGAGTTTTCTCTTATTACAAATACAGCATAGAAAAGATTTTCTGAGGAAGTCCTACATGGCTTTGAAAATGTTTCTTAAAAACAATGTGCACAAGACCCTTTAACAAATAAGAGTGAGCTAAAGATAAGAGGCATTCAAGTGGACACAAGTGCTTAGCAGCAGCCTGAACTCACTCCAGATCCCCACACAATTGCAGAGCTCCTAGAGCCGCCAACTGAGAGGTCACCGAGTGAGTTACTAGAAAATTGCAGCAAATTTTGCCCAGAGTTGATGGAAACTTGCACAGAAGGGTGGATAACCTGCAGCAGACTGCTCAGCTGTTACTGAGTGTTTCTATTTAAACAGCCCATTTTGTCAATATGGTAGAATGTTCTGTAATTTCTTATTTACCCAGCTAATAGTGTGGATAATTCCTGCTTCTGGGTTCCTTTCTACCTTCTCTCACATTTTGTTGCCAAAGTCAGAGGCAGAAGTGCTTTTAAGTTAGAAGGAGGGGAATGGCAATGGAGTAGCACGACTCGGTACCTGTACAATTGCCTAGATGCTCCTCATTTCATCGCACAGTTGTAGTCCCAGAGTAGGCTGGCAATTATAAGTTCTCATGGAAGATTTTCCACCCTTAAGTGCAAGGAGAGAAACACCCCCTCCACTGCCACACACTCAGAGCCGCGCCTATCAAGAAAATGTCTTGTCGAAGGCGGCCACTCACTGAGAGATAGCAATGGCACAAAATAAAAGCTGCAGTATCTGACTGCAGTGAGTTTTTTTTCCTCCTCACTGACCTCCTCCTTTCCTGGTCTATCTCCTCTCAAGGACTCCCTTGCTGAAAGCTCTCAGGGTGCTGTGGCAGTTGGTCTGGAATGTCCTTGTTCCATTTTATGGGACACACAAGACTTGGGGGTGTTCTGGTTAGGGTGATTAGACAGCAAGTGTGAAAAATCGGGACTAGGGGTGGAAGGCAATAGGTGCCTATATAAGAAAAAGCTCCAAATATCGGGACTGTCCCTATAAAATTGGGACATCTGATCACCCTAGTTCTGGTTTTAGCCCCTCCCTGGGCATGAATAAGCTACTGAAAGAGGATGTGCCTCCCCAAGCTGTACAGTTCTTGTAACTCAGTGAAAACCTTCCCTTCCCTTATCAAGAATGTAAAAACTCAGGGCTCATTGATGTCGATGGTTCTACACTAACGTACACTAGTCAAAGATCAGGTCCTCCGAATGGAGAATCCAGCAGCAGTAATTTAATTTTATTTGTCTTTAGCTTTCCAGGCTTTTGAACTTGAGGCCTAATCCTATGATGTGAGTTACCATGGAGTTGTGTCCTTTCTAGGATGGTCACCCATAACATCCGATTCTTGTTAAATGAATGTTGGTGTCAGGGTGACAACTATGGGGCTTGAAATCGGAGACAAGACAATGGCAGCAGTCTCCTCAGTCTGCCCCATCGATGTGCCTCAAGTCTGACCTAAGGAGATCCAGAGATCACCTACTGGGGTACAATGATTTTCAGTTTCCATGTACTTGGCATCTCAGTTGACATCAGAGATCCAGCTTTAGTTGTGATTTCCTGATTTTTATTTTATTTATTTATTGTCTGGAAGCAGCAGGACCTAGACCACTAATTTACAGAGGCCATCAAACAGCCAGCAAACTGTGTGTTTAGAACTCCACGAACTGCCTGGAGAAGGCACCCAGAATCAGCTGCTGGTGTGACCAACATGAATTGGTCCTCCAGCAGCTAGCAGGGCTGGGAGCAGGCTGAAGGCAACAGGGCTCAGCTGGCAAGATAAAAAGGTCTGGATGATTTTTCCAGGGGCCATTTCTGGGTGAAGTTGGGACCAGGGGAGGAAGGATTTCTCCTGTCTTAACCCAGGAGGCAAAGCCTGGTCAGGAGTTCTGGCTATACCTTTTTGGTTGAGCCAACACAGGATTGTTGATTTATGTTATGGAAGGTAAAGCCCAGGTAGCCATCTTGAGTTGAATATCAATTCACTGCAGTAAAAGTCAAGTGAGCGCACTTCATGAATTGCCCCACTGGTTCAGGCAAACACAATGACATGGTAACCTAGAAGTCAGAGATTCTGTATTTCATGCAATGGATCTACTTATTCCTATAACTAGAACAATGCCTAATCCCCCGGAGCCGCCCCTTCAAGAAGAGGGGCTTTTTTATAAAGGCATGGAGTAGAACGTAAGAACGGCCATACCGGATCAGACCAATGGTCCATTCTGCCCAGCATCCTGTCTTCTGACAGTGCCCAATGCCAGGTGCTTCAAAGGGAATGAACAGAAAAGGCAATCATCAAGTGAGCCATCCCCTGTCGCCCATTCCCAGCTTCTGGCAAACAGAGGCAAGGGACACTTCAGAGCATGGTTTTGCACCCCAGACCATCATGGCTAATAGCCTTTGATGGACCGATCCTCCATTAATTTATCTAGTTCTTTTTTGAACCCTGTTATAGTTTTGGCCTTCACACCATCCCCTGGCAATGAGTTCCACAGGTTGACTGTGCATTGTGTGAAAAAATACTTCCTTTTGTTTGTTTTACACCTTGTGCCTATTAATGTCACTGGGTGACCCTGGTTCTTGTGTTATGTGCAGAAATAAATAACACTCTTTCTCCACTAGTCATGATTAAGGCTAAGATTTTGTCACGGATATTTTTAGTAAAACTCATGGACAGGTCACGGGCAATAATGAAAAATTCATGGAAGCCTGTGACCTGTCCCTGACTTTTACTAAAAATATCCATGACGAAATGGGGAGCCTGGGTATCTGCTAGTGGGCTGGGAGCTTCAGGGGTCCCCACCACCCATGGGGGCTTGGAGCTCCAGGGTTCCCCTCCAGGGGCGGTGCTGAGCTACGGGGGTCCTCCCTGCTGCCTGGGGCAGCCGGGAGCTCTGGGGGTTTCCCCCACTGCCTGTGGTGGCTGGGACCTCCAGGGGGCTCCCCCCGCTGCCCGCAGCGGCCGGGAGCTCCAGGGGTTGCCTCCTGCCATCAGCGGCGGCTGGGAGTGGCAGCTGGAGCTATGGGGGTCCCCCCTGCTGCCCACCACAGGTGGGAGCTGTGGAGAGTTCACCAGCCGCCCGCAATGGCTGGGAGCTGCTGGGGTACCCCGCAGCTCCCTGCCTCCACAGGCAGCAGGGGACCCCCTGAAGCTCCCAGACGACACTGGCTGAAGTCACGGAGGTCTTTGGAAGTCACGGATTCTGTGACCTCCGTGACTAAATTGCAGCCTTACTCATGATTATACAGACCTCCATCATATCCCCCCTTAGTTGTCTCTTTTCCAAGCTGAAAAGTCCCAGGCTTATTAATCTCTCCTCATATGGAAGCTGTTCCATACCCCTAATCATTTTAGTTGCCCTTCTCTGCACCCTTTCCAATTCCAATATACATTTTTTGAGATGGGGTGACCAGATCTGCATGTAGTATTCAAGATGTGGGTGTACCATGGATTTATATAGAGGTATTATGATATTTTCTGTCATATCTATCCGTTTCCTAATGGTTTGAGACATTCTGTTCGCTTTTTTGACTGCCACTGCAAATTGAGTGGATGTTTTCAGAGAACTATCCACAATGACACCAAGTTCTCTTTCTTGAATGGTAACAGCTAATTTAGCCCCCATCATTTTGTATGTATAGTTGGGATTATATTTTCCAATGTGCATTACTTTGCATTTATCAACACTGAATTTCATCTGCCATTTTCTTGCCCAGTCACCCAATTTTGTGAGATCCCTTTGTAACTCTTCGCACTCAGCTTTGAGACTGAACTATCTTGAGAAATTTGGTATCATCTACAAATTTTTCCGCCTCACTGTTTACCCCTTTTTCCAGATCATTTATGAATATGTTGAACAGCACTGGCCTCAGTACAGACCCCTGGGGAACACCACTATTTACCTCGCTCCATTCTGAAAACTGACCATTTATTCCTACCCTTTGTTTCCTATCTTTTAACCAGTTACTGATCCATGAAGGAACCTTCCTTCTTATTAAAGTATGGGGAAAGCAGTGGCCAAATTCTATTTACTATTTCAAATAAAAAAAGTGGTTGCATCAAATGTGGGATTAGCTTTTCTACCAGTCTAGCACAGAACTGTCTCTGGATATTTTTTTTATTTTATCTTCTTTGCAAGTTGAGACATAAACTTTGCTCCTAAATTAGAGCATTCAACATGCAAGCTTTTTTGCAAAGACCGCCTAAAACTAGCACTCTTGCTGATGAAGCATTTTGTATTACTACTTATAACAAATAGGAGATAGGTATATGCTAATACCCTTGAGAATTATAGTTCCATAATGGTATGAAAAACTGCTGCAGTGATTGATCAAGAATTGAATTAAAGGTAAATCCATCTGAGCCTTTTTTTAACTTGTGGCATTTTACATTTGGTTTTTTTTTTGTAGGCAGTTTTAAGTTTTGCATGGAAGTTTTTTAGGTTCCCCAGTTCATTGCAAGAAAATTGTATTAAAGGCAAGAAATGTAAGCATGCTTCATTATGCCCCAGCAGTACAATCTAACCAATAAAACATCTTTTACCCTAACTAGAAAATTCTCTTTGCTATTTTGTCTCATCTTTAAGAGTGAAATACTGGATCCTGCTCCATGGCCACAGCAGGGCAAAAACGCAAAGGAAATTGCTACCTATTTTGAGATGTATATAATGCCTAACACTGTGATATTGAAGGACAGGGGAGCAACATGTAAGCAGCACAAGAAGCCAAGACAAAGGAATGTCTTGAAGCCAAGTTCTGCAATACCCCGCTCCATAGGAGAAAGTATGTTTATTGGAGTGCAGGGGGTTATGAGCATGACCACTGGACCTGTAAATTGTCTTTATACCCCACATTGGATTGCATTGGGTACATTCATTACGACAGCCTATGAACTCTATTAGCATCTGCAGAGTGGCTGTGTGGGGGACGAGCCCATCCCTTCAAGTCTCTTTTTGATTCCCTATTTAACTGGGAGAACACAGATTTCAGCTGTCGTGAGAATAATAGGGATTAGGTGACCACTTCTAAAACCATTCCTTGGGAAGCTGTTCCTTGGGAAGCTTGTGCACAGGGACACATCAAAAACTAAACTCTCCACTAAGCCAGCATTAAGCTTCTTGTCTGTCTCACCTTTGATGCTGTTGCTAAGAAATGCACTCCCCGTTGTGGAATGTCTGAGAGGTTACCAGATCAGCGGTCCATTACATTTAATCTTGTTCTCTGATGGGATCACAATGAAAATATGAAATGATCTGGTCTACTACACTTTCATTCCTCATACGGTGGAGTTTCTTCAACTGCAAAAAGGTCTTACCTCGAAATCAATAACAGCAGGATTATATTTTAATGACCTTCCCCAGTGACGATACATATTGGCATTCCAACTGTTTAAAAGCCCTCCACTTGAACCAACATCTCCACCTTGAATCCGAGGAATAATATCTTCCACTACTGCACTATTGGTTTCATGATCTGGAAAGTTGAATTATAGCTACATATTAGTTACCATTTCCACACATTCAGTAGTACAGTAGAAACAGCGTGACTCAGTGGATGGCCACTTGCCCCCATTAAGGCCCTGATCCTGCACCATTAAAGTCAATGGGAGATTTGTCATTGACTTCAGTGAGCCTGGGGCAAGCCCTAAACAGCCTTCCCCATTAGATAGCTTCTGATGAGTTAAGCAGTCTACGTGCTATAATCATGGTGATGTAGGAGTTAAAGAACTTCTAAACTCTATGGCGCCGATCCGCTCATCTCTCTGACATATACACAGGACCCAATGTGTGGGGCGAAGATGGCTTTATACCACCTTTGTGTGCTCCCCAGTCCATATACAAAATAGCAATACTTGTCACTTATATCACACTTTTCATATGTAGATGGCAAAGTGCTTTATAAATCTTGGTAAATACCATTATTCCCCTACACATTTTTGTTTGGTTGGTTGTTTTTTTTTTAATAGAGGCAAAGAGACCTGCCCAAGGTCACACATCACGTCATCAGGGAATAGTACTCAGGTCCCCTGAGTCTAAATGAGATAGTTGGAGACGGAAAAAAATTCAAATAGACTGTGGAAGACATAGGCAGGGAGAGAGAAACATTCTATTGGGAATGTTCCATTGAAATGCCTTTTGTACAGAAAATGCATTTTCTGCAAAATTGAAATTTTATGTAGTGTGACAAGGTCGGACTGGACAGCTGCAAGAGAGTGGTGGAAGCCCTAGACTGATAAAAGCCCTTTTGCCTACAAGCTGAGAAGGAGTTACCTCAGGTCAATTAGGGACACCTGAGTCCAATTAAGGGCTGCCTGAGACCTTTTAAAACTCGTGGGGGGAGGCGGGAGAGAAGCTGCTGCAGGGATAGTGGCAGCAAGGAGATAGGTTTCTCCAGCGTGAGAGGCTGTTCTCTTCCCCATAGGGGAAGCAACCAAAATGGAGTGCCTGTTTAGGGGAAGGACTGACACCCCAGGGCAAACAACAGGACAATGTCCCCCGCACACACACTGTGGAGGCAGGGAAAGGTATTCCCCCTTTGTTCTTGTGTTTGTAAATTTGTTTCTTTTTTGGTTGGCGGAGGTGCACCCCTTAGGTTTGTCCTGAGGCCTACCCTGAAAATACAGACAAGTAAATGCAGAGGGGGAAGACAAACACTGCCTAGAGTGGGCCTGATTTGCCCCAAGCCTGGCCACCACCAAACGAGGACGTGCTAAGTCTGGTGAGGTGGAGGAGGTGCTTTGCCACAGTGGGGAAATTGCAATGAAATATTTTGTTTGGGGTCAGTTTGATCTAAACTCAAATATTTTGGTTTCTTGAATTGAAACAAAACATACACTTTCGACTTAGTTTGACCTTAAACTGCATCTACATATGGTGCAATGATGTCTCATGGGAGTTGTAGTTTGGGTGCCTCATGCCCCCCAGAATGAAATATTTTGATTTGAGACTGTCAGAAAGTTTTGTTTCAATTCAAAATTATCCAAACAAAACCTTTCCAAATTGAAATATTTTGTTAAATATTAAAAGTTTTGCTCTTTTGACTTTTTGTTCTGATTTGGGGTAATAGTAAATATTGGAATTTCCTATGAGATGGATATTCCAATTTTTGCTCAGGTCTAGTCAGATGGTCTAAATCAGTGTAGCTCTGTTGCTGTTTTACACCAGCTCAAGATCTTGACCCACCATGTAGGGTGCCCACTTGTACTACCCTAGCTTTTGAGGTTGTGGACAGGGAATTGTTCAAACCCTAATGCATATTATCCTTTAGTTAGAGGTTAAATTGAATCTCTCTTGGAAAAAAAACACAAGTTAGAATAGGGAAAATGGTTTGTGAATCTGAATTAGTTTTGTGAACACTCCAACCCAACATTTATTTTGAGAGGTTCATAAAACCCCTTGAGCTGCATCCATCCCTACTTTAAACCATAACCTAACCCCCACTTGCACCTCCAGATCCAGGGTAGTCAGAAATCTGCTAATGGCAACAGGGGTAATAGGCCAGACTCACCACTGACATCAGTGGGTAGAACTCCACAAATGCAGTTTGATCCACTTACACCAATGGTGAATTCATTTCAAGATTTACTAGTAAGACAAATATATTCTGTGTACTCCCTTTTCGGGCATCATACCAGTTTTAAGGAATCCTTCTGTCTCACACTTTTTGTATGATAGTGACATTGATATATCTGTTTTTTCCTTTTGGTATATAAGGCCTCCTGACAGACCAAAACAGGAACTTATTGTTTCAGATGTAATGGCTGTGAAACAAAAAAAGAAAAACAATAATGTCAGTGTCATTATTGGTAAGAACATTATATTTTGTCCCCAGTGGTAATTGCGGGTACATCAACCAATAAAATATTCATACAGATATGTGGCATATTTGTGGAAGCCAAGAAATGATTGCCATCATTGTGAAACTGATTTTGCTGGGCTTTGTTGTTCTTGCGTGGAAGCCAAATATGTGGCTGGGGTTTATCAGCGATTGTTAAGTCTGAAAGGGCAAAATACTTGCCCCAAGAGATTTTCTTCTAAAAGAAGGGTGAAAAATCTCAAATCTAGGAAGTCCCTTCATATGTCAGGTTCTGTTCTATCTGTTTAAATTCTGTTTCCATATGGGCCAGCTCCTTAGCTGGAGTAAAACTATGTAGACCTTCTAAAGTGAATTGACCTATGCCAATTTTCAGCAGCTGAGTATCTGGTGCATACATCATAATATGCCTCTTAATCATCTGCACACTGAGACTGGCATATTAGCTGCATAATTAGATAGAGGGTCAGAAGACAGTTGCAGAGAGCGTTTGCCTTTTTATAGGCGTTTGACCTTAGCCAAATATGACTTCCTGGGATACACTGGTCAGAACCTGAGCTGATGTAAATTGACATAGCTCAAGTGACCAGCTGAAGTTCTGGCCCCATATATTTTGGCCAGAAGCTAATGTTTTACAAAACTTTACTGAACGGATGCTGAAAAAACCTCAGTACTGAAAAAAAGCTGCCAGAGAATTACAATATCATTTGGGTCAATTTGTATGAGTTATTTAGTGAGATAAAATGACTGGCTAGAATAGTAACTTCAATACAAATGTATCAATTGTTTATCCTTTGAAAATCACTGACGGTTTATTGCATGCTGTTTATTACCGTTAACGGCTACTGCTGTATGTATTGTAAAAAATAAATAACTAGAATCCTGTGAACAAGCTGTAGAGAAGAGAACTGAAATAAAAAAGTGGTTTCACCAAAGTACAGTAGTAGGCACATTTCTTAGGTCAACAATGTTTTAGTATGCGTATTTTTCAGTGTATTCCAAATATAAGGCAAGTTCAGCAGAAGTTAATGGCAAGACTTCCATTGATTTCAGTGTATGCAGGATAATAATAATTAATAACACCTAGCTTTTATATAGCCTTTTTTATCAGTAGTAGAGCCCTGCGTGAATACAAAATTTATATCCATGGATATAAAGCGAATATCCGCAGAGTTGTAGGGTTCTAGTGCCAGTGACTTGGCCAGGAACCACAGCGATGAAAGCAGCAGCATGTCGGGCTGCTGCTTGCAGGAATCAGTGCCCAGCCCAAGCAGTTCCTCCGTCGTGGCTGTACCGCCCCCAGCCCTGCTCGCTGGCAGCTGTCCCTGGTCACAGCGTCCCTTCAACGCTCCTTTGTGTCTCCTGTCCAGGACTGTGCGAGCCACTAGCATGGCCAGGGATGGCTGCTTTTGTATCCGCGCAGGGCTCTAATCAGTAGTGCTTTACGAAGAACTTTGACGTATCATTATGCCCATTTTACAGATGGGGAAACTGAAGCATAAAGAGGCAAACAGATTTGCCCAAGGTCGCCCAGCAGGCCGGTGGCCAAGGTGGGAATAGAACACAGGTGGCCTGACTCGAAGTCCAGTCCTCTATCCGTTAGGCAACACTGCCTCTCATCAGTATCAGGCCTGTAGGCCCGGGTTTGCTTCCATTGAAATAACTCGCAAATGCTGTTGAGCATGAGTCTCTTCTCTTCTGCTACTCCTGTCCATAAGGAGTAATTCCAGTTGAGTCACACCTGTGCATGCCTGCAACAATTGAGACCAGAATCTGGCTCATTGACTTACTGGTGCGGGATCAGCCCCTGAACATGTGAGATGCTGAGCACCTCACGAGAAGCAATCTGCCCCCTGAACTCCCATTCAAGTTGATGGGAGATGGAGAGTGCCTAACCCTTCATTTCTCATTGACTTCAGTAGGAATCCAGGGTCTCACTGCATTGTAGGCCTGGGCTCTGAGAAAGAGTAAACATGCAGCATTCAGTTACATGGAGTAAAATATTCAATAATTGTAAACGGAAATGGATAAAATTCATTCACCCAAAGCAACATGAATGATTGCTTTCTCAGCGTTGAAGTGCCATAAAATTAAAGTTGAGATACACTCTGATTAATTGATTCACCATGGCTCCTGTTGAGTAATTATGTTCAGCAAGGGTCTGTCAATACAATTTGCAATTGGTTGTAGCGAATACTGTAGATCCAGTCTCGATAAATATTGAAGTGGTTATTGCTGCAAAAGGGTGGTCATACAGAATATTGGCTCTTTGCAGGAGGGGAAACCATGATTGTTTATCATCTGATGTAATTTCAGATAGTTGAATGTGTCCTAGTTGTGAGATTTATTGCTGCATTTTGAATTAATCATACTATGTAAAGGCTCTTTCCATACTATTCTGTGCTGACTGCATCTCCCCTAAATGTCATCACAGCTGTTAATGAATTACTCAACTTTTCTGCTGTGTAATAAAACAATAATTTCTTTTAAAAAGAAGGAATGAAAAATATTGGTGGCATGATTCACAAGGCGCCTTAGCCTGATACCCTTATTCATTTTTTACTCAGTCCTTATTGAGACAAATTTCCACTTTAGTGGGATTTGTGCCTTCATTCTAAATTGCATAATGATATGGGGATATCGTTTAGTAATTGGTTAGGACAAACTAGTTGTATTAGTTAGTGCTAGTTTATGCAGATCAGTGGCTCAAGTTTTAGTGGTAAAGTTTTTGTTGTTGTTGTTGTTGTTTAAAGAAAGTACAGGGCCAGTTCTTCAACTGGTGTAAATTCAACTGTTTACAACTGAGCTGTGCTGATTTACAGCAGCTGAGGATCTGACTCATACACACCATGTAACAACATAGTGAGGAGACACCTCATTCAATAGGAAATCTGTCCAGTATTAAACCGTCAAAACATACCAATTATTACCATGTGGTGGAATCCGAGACTCTGCAGTTTCATTTCCTATAGGATATAATGCTGTATCAGTTGATAAATGTTGAGTTTTTAATAGTACCCACTATAGATGGAAATTATACAAGTATCCTACATTAGAATGAAAATTATCTCTCTTCTGGGGCACATTTTTTGTCTCTTCCAGAACTCCAACATCCCTCATTTTTAAAATAGGGCGCCTTGTAGCAGTAAATCTCATCTCAGATATACAGTAAGCACAAGATAAAGTAAAATAATAGTCCCTGTCCAGCTGCTGGTGATTAATCCTTTCCTTTAACTTGGCAGTCTGCTTCTTAAAGTCTTCCTTGCCAAGATCTTGGTCGCCTCTTTGTCACTCACTTTTCCAGGAGTGGAGGACACAGAACGTCTCCAAGAATAAGGACACACACTTCAGGAGAGCTGTACAAATCATTTCTATTGCTAAGTACTTCTTTGTAACACTCTCTATGGTTGGCTCTGAGCATTGAATATGTGTAGTTATAGATACCCAAACTACTCGAGGCCAAATCATAAACTGGCATAAATTGCCATAGTCTTATTGAAGTCAATGAAGCTTTGCTGATTTATACCAGCTGAGCATCTGGCTGTCTTTTACTACTGCTATAATCACAGTCTCCATCTTAGGCCACCAGGTTGAAATCAAAGCAGAACCTATAGCAAATGCTATAGATGACTAATGCCTGCTTGTATCACTGGATGTATAAGGGTTGTGGTATCTATCACACTGTAGCTGACTTTACATTTTCACGAACAATCTTGTGAGTGTACCAAAAGGACTATGTTGTTCTACATCCTCATTCTTGATTGGAAGAGGCTTAATGTTTCAACTGCCCAGAAACTGATGTGCATGCAATCCAAACTGCAGCTGATACATTACATAAACATAATTTACGGGCATAACCATGCAGCCTGCACACCTTTGTGGGTTGAAAGCTGGAGCGAGCAGAACTCTGTCATTCCTGAGATTACAAGCCATCCAGTGTAAAATGGCAGATGTAAGGCCAAGTACAATGCATTATTCACACATTCAAAACAAACACATGCCTTTGAGTGTATCTGGATCTGTCTGTGTAATGCCTTTTTTCTTGCTCTTAGTGCTAGCAAGTATAATCAAAGCTACAATTTTCCCCACCAGTGTGAAGAGAATGTCCTTGGGGGTCGCTCCTGATACACCTGTGTCTGTGTCGCTCATGACGACCCTCTCAGAGGAGAGCTTGGTTTTTAGACTAGGTCTCACTAAGGGTTCCATCATATTTGATTGAGGCCTGCACTGATTGTTGAAGTATGAGTGACATATTTCCTCTGGGTCTGTGTCTGCGGTTGTCTTGTTCCAAGGCAGCTAGTTATTAAGTCTTCAGACTTCTGAATATGGACATGAAATCCCTTAGTGCATTCTGGACCTGTCCCGATCTCTGTACTGATAAATGAACTTTTCTCCAGGTGCTGTCCTACCTTTCTGTAGTATTAAGCCAGGGAGAGCAAAAAGGATGTGAAAAGAACAGGTTCAGATTTGGGAAGCCTAGATGCTGATGACACAAGGCAGTCATCGGTTGCAAAATTAGCTGGTGGAAAGGATGCACCATTGCATGTAAGCTATAGGAGAATGAAACAGTCCAGAAAGGGTACTGGAGAAATCCAGACTCCTGCCTAAACTACTAATTACTGCCAAGGGAAACTTTCATGCAAGAAAGTAGAACAAGACGCCCTGCTGGTGACTTTCCTCTGTTTTCATCCCCACAGGACAAACCTGTTTGTTTAACCAGTTGTTGTGCAAAAGATCATTGATAGTCCTTCTTCTGGTAATGAGCGCTGCAAAATTTGGATCCATGTTGGGTCTGGATGTAGAAACCATCGCCCAAAGCTTGGGGACGTTTGGACTTGTGATTCTGGTTTGGCCCATTAGAAAGGGAAGCCCTAATCATGAACTTTAAAAAAACCTTACAGGTCACATCTTTTCAGATTCAGGGTGACAGAATACCTGTCTTCTGAGTTCTCCTGTTATGAGAGAGGACCATTAAGCACATTGGAGATGAGTTCATGTCCACTGGGATGATGCTTCCTGTATAGCAGCCATACTACTATTAAGATTAAGTAGATGGAAAAGCCATGTAGATTCCCCACTACAATGAGTGAGCTGGACAGGAATTGTATGCTGACTGGTTTCAGAGTAGCAGCCGTGTTAGTCTATAGCCGCAAAAAGAACAGGAGTACTTGTGGCACCTTAGAGACGAATAATATTTCCTCATATTTCCTCATGTTAAAATATCCTCACACCTTCGATGGGTCATCTCGATTATCACTTCAAAGGTTTTTTTCTCTCTCCTGTTGATGATAGCTCATCTCACTTGATTGGCCTCTTACAGTTGGTATGGCTACTCCCACCTTTTCATGTTCTCGGTATGTATAAATATCTTCTTTCTGTGTGTTCCGTTCTATGCATCTGATGAAGTGGGCTGTAGCCCACGAAAGCTTATGCTTAAATAAATTCGTTAGTCTCTAAGGTGCCACAAGTACTCCTGTTCTGTATGCTGACTGTGAGACGTACTTATTGGTTTATTTAACACCTTACAGCAGGATAAAGGATAAATAATCTAACCTAGAGAGCCTCCAGTTTAACTTCCCATGTGCCTCCTCGTGACCAAAAGGAGATCTACTTTAAAAAAAGATTTAGGGCCAGAACCTCAGCTGGTGTAAGCTGGTGTAAATCAGTGTAACTCCATTTATGCCAATGGACCTATGCCAAATGACACCAGCTGCAGAATCTGACTCATTATATTTTACTCACCTATGAAATGTACTGAAGCCAAGAATACTAAAGCGCTAGCACTGACTCCGAATGCCTAATTTTAGCCACTGTGAGCTAAATCCTGGCCCTGCTCTTCAAGGACAGAAGACCCAAATTCTGCTCAGAAGCTGCTGATTTGCTGCACAGGAAGGCAAACTATGGAAAGTCAGTGTAAGTGGCTCTGCATAAGCATACTGTGGAACAATGGCAGCTAGTCCCGTGAGCAGTGGTGAGGAGGAATTTGGTATAGGTAGACGGGTCAGGGGTGGGACGTGCCAGTTGGTGAGTGGCTATAGGTATCCTCTGGTGGTAGGTACTGCTTTAGCAGTGCCGGTACTATCGCTCCATGCCTGGGAGGATAAAGAGGGAGGAACCCAGTGGTTAGTTTTAACAGTTTATAACATTAAACAATCAGAGGGGACAGTTAGAGAATGAAGTGATGAACACAGAATTTGTAGCATTATTCTAACCTTTTCTTTTCATTTCTTCTTTGTTAACGACGAGGATATATTCAAAGATGCCTCCCATGGTCCCAGATGTCATGAAATGGGTACCGTAGTCATTAATAAATTTGGCATACATTCCATAGTTGTAGCTTTCTGGAAGCGCCATCAGGGACTGAAGCACGTCTTCATCCAGAACTACGTTATCCCGTCTCATTTTGAACCGTGCTGTCTGTACCTTTGTTATGGCTCTAATGAATCCTACGTTCTGCAGATAAAACAAAACAGACGTTAAAAGGGAAACGTGCCTCTTCCCTGAGAAATATACAGGGGTCCACACTGCAGAATAGTGGTATAAACATTCAGTGGGTTTACACCAAGCTAGGAGCCCTTTAAAGGAGCATTGTCTGGGCTTGATTCTCAACTAAAGAACACTAACGTATTCCCACTGAAGCCAATAGAGAGAGATTAATCTAGAACTAGTGTTGCCAACTCTTGTGATTTTATCTCAAATCTCTCAATATCTGCTCTTTGTCTTACAGCTTCAATTCCTGGAGTCAAGTGATTCTGAGAGAATCTCAGCTTTCATTTTAAAAAAGTTTCTAGCTCTTGTGGTTGGAGAAAAAAGCTTGACAGTGTGACCCAAGTGTTCCTTAAAGGATCAAAAACAAGAAGGCATCTAACAATACATTTTATTTATCTATTAAAACATATTTTAAAGCAAATCACATGATTTTGGGGGGCTGGAGTCATGATTTTTGATCACCTGGGCAGTGGAGCTGGAACAATTTGCATAGTGGGGGTGCTGGGAGCCATTGAACCAAACCGCAAACTCTGTATATGATCGAAACCACTTCAAGCCAGAGGGTGCGGCCGCACCTCCAGCACCCCTAGTTCCAGCACCTGTGCACTTGGCGTTAGCAATACTGTATACGTGAAATCAGAATAGGCTCCTTATGTTTTCCCCCCTCTAAATTGGATGCTCTATTCCAGGGGTTCTCAAACTTCATTGCACCGTGACCCCCTTTTGACAACAAAAATTATTTCACAACCCCAGGAAGGGGGACCGAAGCCTGAACCTGCCCAAGCCCCACTGCCCCGGGGGGGGGGGGCAAAGCCCGAGCCCCACCACTCCGGGCAGGGGGGGGGGCAAAGCTGAAATTCAAGCACTTCAGCCCCTTGTCAGGGGGCTTGCAACCTGAGCCCTGCTGTCCAGGGCTGAAGCCCTCGGGGTTTGGGCTTCAGTCCTGGGACCCCGCAACTCTAAGCCACCCCCGGCGACCCCATTCAAAGGGGGTCCTGACCCACAGTTAGAGAACTGCTGCTCTACTCCTTTCCTGTATTACAAATAATTCCTTTGACTACTGAACATCTAACGGACATGTCACTGTTTATGCTGTTTGTTCACTTTTGCGTATCTCTCAGCTTAGACAACTAAAGTTGGCTTGTCAGTTTCACTTTGGGTTACACCAATTTTTAGTCAATTTTGGTGCTGGCTCCTATGTCCTAGCCCAAAGCTTCAATAATGGAATTGCAAATGCTTCCAGGGAATGTTTATATGTCTTAAAAATAGAAATATTAAAAAAAATTGAACCATTTCTATTGGTGTTAGGTTCTGTTAATATGTATTTGTTTTGAAAAACCTAAATTAGATGGCCAGATTTAACCTGGCAACTTCCCTTTACACAGCAAAACTGTGTTATAGCCACTGTATTGCATAGCCAAGCAATGGATAGCTCAGTGGTTTGAGCATTGGCCTACTAAACCCACGGTTGTGAGTTCAATCCTTGAGGGGGCCATTTGAGGATTTAGTTGGGGATTCGTCCTGCTCTGAGCAGGGGGTTGGACTAGATGACCTCCTGAGGTCCCTTCCAACCCTATGATTCTATAACAGAGAACCTCTGCTGGGGAACTCCACCAAACAAAGTTGATGTGATTCTTGGGGCCATATAAAGGACCCAGCTGCAATTGCTCACACATGCTCTCTAACACAAAATACACACATTCCTCAGTGCTGGTACTACAACCTTGGTCCTTCAGCTACAGAAAACATAAGCTTTTGCCACGTAAGTTAAAGAAGAGCTTATTCATAGATTCTAGGACTGAAAGGGACCTCGAGAGGTCATCGAGTCCAGTCCCCTGCCCGCATGGCAGGACCAAATACTGTCTAGACCATCCCTGATAGACATTTATCTAACCTACTCTTAAATATCTCCAGAGATGGAGATTCCACAATCTCCCTAGGCAATTTATTCCAGTGTTTAACCACCCTGACAGTTAGGAACTTTTTCCTAATGTCCAACCTAAAGCTCCCTTGCTGCAGTTTAAGCCCATTGCTTCTTGTTCTATCCTTAGAGACTAAGGTGAACGAGTTTTCTCCCTCCTCCTTATGACACCCTTTTAGATACCTGAAAACTGCTATCATGTCCCCTCTCAGTCTTCTCTTTTTCAAACTAAACAAACCCAATTCTTTCAGCCTTCCTTCATAAATCATGTTCTCAAGACCTTTAATCATTCTTGTTGCTCTTCTCTGGACCCTCTCCAATTTCTCCACATCTTTCTTGAAATGCGGTGCCCAGAACTGGACACAATACTCCAGTTGAGGCCTAACCAGCCCAGAGTAGAGCGGAAGACTGACTTCTCGTGTCTTGCTCACAACACACCTGTTAATACATCCCAGAATCACGTTTGCTTTTTTTGCAACAGCATCATACTGTTGACTCATATTTAGCTTGTGGTCCACTATAACCCCTAGATCCCTTTCTGCCGTACTCCTTCCTAGACAGTCTCTTCCCATTCTGTATGTGTGAAACTGATTTTTCCTTCCTAAGTGGAGCACTTTGCATTTGTCTTTATTAAACTTCATCCTGTTTACCTCCAACCATTTCTCCAATTTGTCCAGATCATTTTGAATTATGACCCTGTCCTCCAAAGCAGTTGCAATCCCTCCCAGTTTGGTATCATCTGCAAACTTAATAAGCGTACTTTCTATGCCAATATCTAAGTCGTTAATGAAGATATTGAACAGAGCCCGTCCCGGCTTCTTTAGATAGTACTAATAGTAGGATCTTGTATCTTCTCTATAGCAATATCACATGCGCAAACACACACACAGCTAGTACATTTCATAGCATGTCTATGAAAGGGAGTGCAGAGGGGAGGAGTGAGTATGTCAATAGTGTGATCCGTGAGGGGCGGTGCAGAATAACAAATCCACATGGCAGCTGGTGCCTGCCATTGCTTCCCCTACTCAGCATTAATTAGCTGTGTCTCAGCTGTGCAGACACCCTGGCTGTTTTCCTGTTGAGGGCAGAGGATGCTGTTCCCCAAAGTCCACATGACTGGAGAGCATTCTCCTGCACGTTCTCTCATGTTTGGGCCATTGCTCCATGTCTCAGAAACTGATACAATGGGCTGCCCTGCCTGTGGTGGGGTATCAGTCCCACATGGACTTGGAAGGGGTTAAGTTGGCCAGGCAGGCCAATTAACTCCCTTGGGTGCACCTGGAGGGGGAGCCAGGGAGCTGGCCACTAATTAGGAGTAGGCTCAGCTGTAATGGAGCAGAAGGGGCCCAGTATATAGCCAAGTAGCTGGCACAGGCAGTGGGGGTAGGAAGGCAGACTGCAGTCACTCCCTGAGTGGAGGTAGTTAAGAAGCTGGCAAACCCAGGGAGGGGAGAAGCCAGTAAAGTAGGAAGAAGCCCAGGGAAACAGCAGTGAGGACTAAGGAGATATAGGCCTTGGCTGCATGTTATAGGGTCCCTGGGCTGGAACCCAGTGTAAAGGGCAGGCCCGAGTTCCCCTACCAGCCACTGGGCAGTGGCACAATGTGTTGGAGATGCCATCCTGACAGCAGAGTCTGGAAGGCCTTTGAATTCCCCAGAAGGGGAGACTTTAGTGACCTGGCCGGAGGGCCAAGCCATGAAGAGGAAGCTGTAGATCTGGGAGTGACCAGTGCAGCGGGAGATAAGATGGCGGAAGACACCACCGGAATGAGAGCGCAGACTGGTGGAGCTACTCCCCGAGACAATCAGAAGGAGGTGTGGTGAGTGAACCTTGTGACACAGCCCTTTTAACGAGTCATTTTCTGAGGATACAAAATCAATTTTTTTGATGAAAACAATCAGTGATGTGACTCTAGACAAGAAAGAACTAGATACTTTAATGATGCCAGCTTACAGCAGTTTTAAAAGCACTTCAACTAGTATCAAGAGGTAGCCGTGTTAGTCTGTATCCACAAAAAAAACAAGGAGTCCGGCGGTACCTTAAAGACTAACAGATTTATTTGGGCCTAAGCTTTCATGGGTAAAAAGTGAGGTTTTTTAACCCATGAAAACTTATGCCCAAATAAATCCGTTAGTCTTTAAGGTGACACCGGACTCCTTGTCACTTCAACTAGGACACTGTCAAGATAATTCTCTTTTACTGTTCCTTGTCACTGACCAAGAGAAAAGTAGATCACAGGCATAGTATAAATATAAAAAATTATCATTAATATTATCAGATCTAAATGGGGGGTCACCACATATTTGGCCATGATGTAAACTTTCTATTAAAAATAAACCCTTCCATCTAGTACTATTTGTTTACTAAGATACTTTTAACTTATGATACAATAGAAGCTTAATTTACCACCATATTGCAGCTTGTATTAAATTGAACAAGATATATTTGCCACTGAAGCCCATCCCCTGAGGACAACTGTTTTGATGAACAGCTTGATATTTTCCCCTCCCTGTTTGCCACTTTAAGCATTTCTTTATTTATATACTTAATATAGCCATGAAACAGGAAGGGGCAAGATGACATGTGTTCTTATATTTCGTAATTCAATTTTATTCCCATTATAATGATTCTGTTTGCTTAGATGTAATAAGACCAACAAACAAGATTACTAATGATCACACATTTGCAATTACATGAACAAATGAAGGTACAATTACTATTGTTTAAAAAACATGCAAGTAAAAGAATAAACTAACATAAGTTACACCGAAATTGCGCAATGCAACAAGACATGACTGAGAGAACACATGCACCATTGTTTTGTTACCTTCTCGTTATACTGCGTGAAATTCTTCAGGGATCCTTTACCCTGTGATAAACTGAAACCTAGCTCAAAAAGGGGAGGTACATTAGCATAACTTATTCCAAAGGTAAAGCCATAATTTGTGGATTTATCTTTTTTTATGGCCTCAAATAAATCTCTCGAATCATCGTAAAACTCAAAAGAGAATCCAGAATCAGCATGAGCCTGAAATGAAAAGAAGAGGCATTACTTTTGCAGCTATTACCTGCCTTCTTTACCGTATTACTCTCTCTGCTGAAGTATCTGATCCTGCCCCAACTGAAGTCAGTGGTAAGGTAATGCAGCCTATTATTAAAGTAGCCTGACACTTCTCATTACAAAACCCTGTTTTCAGTTGCTAATAACTTTGCCAAACTTTAATTGTTTTGGCTGAAATTTTCCCAGGTGGTGCCTAACTCAAGCTGAATATTTTCTGGAAAATATCATCAAAAATGGTTCAACTGTTTCTGAGAAATAAGGTTAGGGGAGAAATATATTTTTGTTTTTGTCCACAATAAAAATGTTCTTTGAACCACTCTAGTTCCCCTATATTTGAGAGCAGTGACTTGAAATTTGGTTTGGTGGTGGCCTTTGTGTTAGGGATGTGCCTTTTGCCAAATCTGACAAAATTTGACCAAGTTATGAGTCTTTGAAAAATCACAGTTCACACATGCTCAGTAGAGATTGCTTAGATTTTTAGCAATTAAAATCTAAGCAGATTCCATCCTCAGGGAGCATGCTCAAGCCCCTGACAGCTCCTAGAGTGACTAGAGTGAGCGTGCACCTGAACACGGGCCACCCCAGGGCTACAGGGGCTCAGATGGACTTTTGCTGTAAGCGCTGCTCCTAGCTGCTCTACACTGGGCACTGGAACTAAGAGCAGGGAGCCTGTCTCTCTTAGCCCTGGTCTACACTGGCAGGGGGATCGATCTAAGTCATGCAACTTCAGCGACATGAATAACGTAGCTGAAGTCGACGTACTTAGATCGACTCACCGTGGTGTCTTCACTGTGGTGAGTCAACTTCTACCGCTCCCCCATCGACTCTGCCTGTGCCTCTCGCCGAGCTGGAGTACAGGAGTCAATGGGAGAGGGCTCGGGGGTCAATTTATCGCATCTAGACTAGATGTGATAAATCGATCCCCACTGGATCGATCGCTGCCTGCTGATCCGGCGGGTAGTGTAGACATACCCTTAGACTCTCAGAATGGTCAAAAAGCTGGACCGGGGAGGGGGAAAATGAATGGATTGGGACGAGATGTCTGGGGGAGAGAAATTGGAACTGGTTGGGCAAGGAAATTGCAACTAGGAGCAGAAAGGGAAGCTGGGACTGAGTGGCGGGGGGGGGCGGAGAGGAAGGCGGGGTAGAGGGAGTAGAAATTGGGACTAGTTGGGCAAGGAAACTGGGACTGGGAGTCAGGTCGGGGAGTGGGAGCTAGTGAGGGAAACAGGAAGAGGGTGTCAGTTGGTGGTGGTGTGAGGGATATGGAAATTGGATGAGGAGCTGGGAGGAGGGGGAAGACTGGGATTGGCTGGATAAAGAGACTCGCACTAGGAACCAAGGAGAGGGGAGACTAGTGTTGAGAACTGACAGCTGCAACTGAAATCAATGAGCGCTGTGCTTTGACCACATGAACTGCCCTATAATGCTAAGTACTCTGAAAAATTAGGTCCTCCTCAGCTCAAAGTTTGTGGATTTTAATCTCAGTACCTCAACCCCATCTCTAAAATGGGGATACTACCCCCCGCACAGGGATGTTGTGAAGATAAATTAATAGATGTCTGTGAAGCACTCAAATACTGTAGGGATGAGTGCCATAGAAAAGGCCATGAGGAAATTAATAATTCTTTCTTCAGAGCACGATTTGAATAGTATGCAGTGAATAAACCCCTCGAGGTTGGGGCACAGATTGAACAAGGAGCAAACACAAAATATTGAATAGGTGCTTGTTAAGTGAGCACCGTCCATCCTGTGCACTGAATTTTCCATCCTGTGGAAAATACAGTATCTGATCACGTAATTATAAACTGCAGCATAATGCTAACACACAAGAGGGCCAAATTAAGATTGCACAGGCAACCTTAGTTCTGGCTTCCTTAACTTTTTAGTGCTTGACATTGCAATCTTAAAATTCTTTTACTTTTTTTGTAGTTCATACAGTGCATAACATTTTAGTGAAAGCAACAAGTTCTCTGCATGGAATAGCTTGCCATCTTGAGGGGCATACAGAGAAAATACAGTTTGGGAACGTTATGGTGAAGTAGCATATTTACAGTTGTGTAAGGCATTTAACTTTGGTACTGCACAACATTTTGATTAATAAACTAGAATGACACAATTAATCCACTTAATGTTTGCCGTGTTGAAAGTGGGATACGTCTCTAAATATAATTGCAAATGGGGAAATCATCATCTAATAGGTGTTTTTTTTTCTCTTGGGGGTCCTGCAGGTTCTTGGCCCTAAATATTTAAAATGTTTATCAATGACTTGGAAGAAAACATGAAGTCATTACTGTTAAAGTTTGCAGATGACCCACAGATCGGGGGAGTGGTAAATAACAAATAGAACTGGTCACTGATACAGAGCCATCTAGATTGCTTGATAAGCTGGGATCTGGCAAACAATATGCCTTTCAATATGGCCAAAATCAAAATTCATACATCTAGGCACAAAAGATACAGGCCATATTTACAGGATGGACTCTATCTTGGCAAGCAGTGACTGAAAAAAGTTGAGTGTCAGGTTGGATAATCAGTTGAACAGAAGCCTGAAGTGCGACACTGTAGCCAAAAGAGCTAATGTAATCCCTGGCTGTATAAACAGGGAATATTGAGAGGAGTAAGGAGGTTGTATTACTTTTGCATTTGGCACTGGTGTGACTACTTCTGAATACTGTGTCCAGTTCTGGTCCATACTTCAGGAAGGATGTTGAAAAATTGGAGGGGGTTCAGAGAAGAGCCTCAAGAATGATTAAAGGATTGGACAACATGCCATATACTGAGAGACTCAAGGAGCTCGATCTCTTTAGTTTATCTAAGAGAAAGTTAGCGGGTGATTGTTATCACCGTTTATATATACCTACATGGGGAACAGAAATTTGATAATAGAAGGTTCTTCAGTCTAGCAGACCAATGTAAAACAAGATCCAATGGCTGGACATTGAAGCTAGACAAATTCACACTGGAAATAAGGTAGAATTTTTTAATAGTGAGGGCAACTAACCATTGGAACAATTTACCAATGGCTCTTCATGACTGCAAATATTTAAGATATGCTCTAGTTCAAGCACAACAACTGGACTTGAAGCAGGAATGTAATTTAGGGAAGTCCTGCAGGGTGTGTTGTTCAGGTGGTCACACTAGATCACAATGATCCCTTCTGGCCTTAAAATTTATTAATCTAAAAGTCCATCTCCACTGCAGGAAGAAGTGTGTGTTCTGTGGGAATGCACAGTAAAATTTTCAAAATTGACTTAGAAGCTGAAGACCCATTTTCAAACATGGCCTAGGCCAGATTTTCAAAGGTACCTAAAAATGCAGACAGGTCCCTTCTAGGATTTTCAGAAGTCCATGTGGCGTGGCTATAGAGTTCCTGTTTCTCCACAGTTAACAGACACACTCACGATAGGTTCCTACGGGGAGCTTACTAAATGTGGGAACTTCCTGGCAAGAGGGTTCTCTAGTAGGTGCTTAAAGCATGGCTTTCTGTGTTTATGACCTCATACTACAGATCCTAAGCAAGTTAGGCACCTAACTCAAAACTATTTCAGTGGGACTTAGGCTTGTGGGCCCAGATCCTTAAAGATACTCTGCTCAGCACCTCAATGCCTCACACGTAGGCTGTCTGCCACCCAGCGGAATCTTCAGCCTCAAGCAAGGTGCCCAGGCCCCCCATACAATGAATGGAGAGAGTTCAGCATCAGAAAGGAATGGTAAGAAGGTGCTTTTGAAAACCATGCTAGGCTGAAAACCATGCTGTATTTTTTAGGTGCTGAAATATCTTTGAAAATCTGGCTCTGAGTGACTTAACCAAGCTCACATAGGAAGTCTGTGGCAGAGCAAAATCTCCATAGTTCCTAGGCTAGTACCCTAACCATTAGATTATCCTTCCTCCCTAATTATTATTTGTGTTAGTGCCTAAAGGCCCCTGCCCCCATGTGCTGGGAAATGTACAAACCGGTAACAAAGAGGCATTCCCTGCCCCAGAGAGTTTAAGAAAGACTATAGCCAACAAGTGGGTCTAACAATCTGACAGGAGGAGCACAAGGTAACAGAGATGATTAGGATAAGCAGTGGTCAATGCACGCTAACTGTTAACCATGGCAATGATGACTTTACCCTACAGTGTAGGAAGCTCCCAGCAGGACAGGTGGAATTTTAAAACTCCAGCATTATACAGACAGAAGTGGGGGAGGGAGGTGCCTTACCTCTTCTATGGCACTTGTCATCCAGACTGCAGATCTCAAAGCACTGTAAAAGTGGGCAAGTACCATCATCCCCATTTAACAAATGGGGAAACTGAGGCACAGAGCGGTGACGTGACTTGTCCAAGGTCACATAGCTTGTTAATAGCCGAGCTGGGAGCAGAAACCCAGTTCAGTGCCTCGTCCACTCAACCAGAATAAGTAATAGGGTTGCTTGGGTGATGCAGCAAGGATCACATTAGTTCCTTCATGTGTGGGTTTTTAAAATAACTATGTTGTACAAATGTTTATTGTTAACTAGAAGATTGTTGCTTTAGAGACTGGTGGAAAAGGTGGGGTTTGTGGAAGGATTTGAAGGAGACCCTGGTTGAGGGGAGTCCTGGCCCCAAAACATATGGAATTGCCCTAGTAATCTCTTGTATCAAAATGCACAATCTCAGTAAGAGCCCCAGAGCATATGAGGCTGCTCATCCATGAAAGTAGGTCTTCAATGTTATCTTTCTACTGCTGCAAATAACTGTAATATATATCCTGAGAAAATCTACATAACATCTCTAAGGCAAACTTCAGTTCCTAGTGAGAAAATGTTGCTAAATTAACATCTTAAATACTTACTAGAAATTGATATACATGGAAATTGTAGGGTTTTCTAAAATATTTCTCATCATCCCCATAGTACAAACGTTCACATGCAGAGTCATACTTCAATTCCCGCCATTCTCCATTGTAAATGTACTCACACTGGCCTCCATAATACTTAGGATCGTATACAAATTGCATTTCTTCTTGTGTAAGAACATTGTATCTTTAATGAAAAGAGACATCATCCAGAAATTAACTATAGCTTTCTTTGCTATTACAAAAAAATTGCTACCTACCCCCTCACTTTGACTTTACATACATTCTGTTCTCAGACACTGGACTCTACGTTGCTTTGGATAGCAATGACTCAGGATCTTTCGCTTCATAAATGGGAGGTTTTGATTCCACACACCTCCATTTTTGTCTTCTCCTGTGGGAACTAAACTAAAGCGATTTTTCTCTCTGACTAAAAATGAGACAAATAGCCTGTTATTTCAAAGACAGTATCATACAATCATAAATTAGAGATGGAAGACACTAATGAAATCATCCAGTTCATCTCTCTTCCAATACAACATGGTTCTCTGCAGTTCATTTTCTAGTGTTTGGTCAGGTAGAGTTATAAAAATGTCCCAAATTATGGGGCTTCCGTAAAGTCCCTTGGGAAATCATTTCACAGCCTCCTAATCCATCTCACTGTCACAAAGTTCTTCCTGATAGTCAAAGTAAATGTTCTGTTTCTTAATTTCATCACTCTTCTGTTAGTTGTTCTCCCATTTACCTATTCCCCCTTGGGTGTTAACACCCTCCATATACTTGTAGACTGCTCTCACTTAGTCAAACTATTCATAGTTGGTTCACTTAGTCTTTCCATATTAGTCATTTCCTCCTGCTCCTTGACCATTTTAGATGTTCTTCTCTCAATTCCCTTCAGTTTGTCAATAGCTTTTTGCTAACTTGGTAGCCTGAAATGAAAGTAGAATTAGAAATTCCTCAGAAGTGGAAATTCTCTTCAAGAACATAAGAATGGCCATGCTGGGTCAGACTAAAGGTCCATCTAGCCCAGTATTCTGTCTTCTGATAATGGCCAATGCCAGGTGCCCCAGAGGGAATGAACAAAACAGGTAATGATCAAGTGATCCATCCCCTGTCGCCCATTCCCAGCTTCTGGCAAACAGAAGCTAGGGATACCATCCCTGCCCATCTTGGCTAATAGCCTTTGATGGTCCGATCCTCCATAAACTTATCTAATTCTTTTTTGAACCCTGTTATAGTCTTGGCCTTCACAACATCCTCTGGCAAAGAGTTCCACTGACTGTGTTTTGTGAAGAAATATTTCCTTGTTTTTTAAACCTGCTGCCTATTAATTTCATTTGGTGACCCCCTAGTTCTTGTGTTATGAGATGCAGTAAATAACACTTCCTTATTTACTTTCTCCACACCAGTCATGATTTTATAGATCTCTATTATATCCCCCCTTAGTCATCTCTTTTCCAAGCTGAAAAGTCCCAGTCTTATTAACCTATCCTTATACGGAAGCCGTTCCATACCCCTAATCATTTTTGTTGCCCTTTTCTGAACCTTTTCCAATTCCAATATATCTTTTTTGAGATGTGGTGACCACATCTGCACTCAGTATTCAAGATGTGGGCATACCATGGGTTTATATAGGGGCAATATGATATTTTCTGTCTTATTAGCTATCCCTAATGATACCAAGCATTCTGTTCGGTTTTTTGACTGCCGTTGCACATTGACTGGATGTTTTCAGAGAACTATTCATAATGACTCCAAGAACTTTCTTAAGTCATAACAGCTAATTTAGACCCCATCATTTTATATGTATAGTTGGGATTATGTTTTCCAATGTGCATTACTTTGCATTTAGCAACATTGAATATCATCTGCCATTTTGTTGCCCAGTCACCCAGTTTTGAGAGATCCCTTTATAGCTCTTCACAGTCTGCCTGAGACTTAACTATCTTGAGTAGTTTTGTATCATCTGCAAATTTTGCCACCTCACCGTTTCCCTTTTTTTCCAGATAATTTATGAATATGTTGAATAGGACTGGTCCCAGTACAGACCCCCTGGGGAACACCACTATTTACCGCTCTCCATTCTGAAAACTGACCATTTATTCCTATCTTTTGTTTCCTATCTTTTAACCAGTCACCAATCCATGAGAGAACCTTCCCTCCTATCCCATGACAGCTTACTTTGCTTAAGAGCCTTTAGTGAGGGACCTGGTCAAAGGCTTTCTGAAAATCTAAGTACACTGTCTCCAATGGTTTTCCCCCTTGTCCACAGGCATGTTGATCCCCTCAAAGAATTCTAGTAGCTTGGTGAAGCATGACTTTCCTTTATGAAGATACTGAACACTTACTTTTGTGTGCTTTGCAGAGGGAAATATACATTACAGTAGTCTATGACAATGAAAACAAAATAAATATGTGGACTGATAAGCTTTTGATAGACTCCCTTGGAGCCTCTTCCAAACCCGCCCCCCCCCCCGCCCCACCAACCCCATTTAACTTACTGGGAGTCTTTCCACCAACTTCTGCGGCTTTGGATCAAGCGAATGTAGAGTTAAATGATGAATGACCACATTCTCATACTGTAGCTCCTATTCTCTTTCACATAAGGCTGTATATGTATATGTATATGTATATGTATATGTATGTGTGTGTGTGTGTGTGTGTGTGTGTGTATAAGTGATGCCATCATAGACAGTTTGCCAATGATACCTGTCTTAGATTCCACTTCTTTCTAACCTAATTCAGTCATAATCAGGGCCTCAGGCTAGGGGGCTGTTTAATTGAGGTGTAGACACTTGGGTTGAAGCCTGGGCTCTAGACACTGCCAGGCAAGCCCGAGCCCAAGCCCAAATGTCAACACTGCAATTAAATAGCCCCCTAGCCTGAGCCTTGTGAGACCGAGTCAGCTGACACAGGCCAGCTGCAGGTGTTAACCTCTCTGGGCATGTCTGCACTGCAGTTAAAGTGACTTGCTCAAGCTCACAGAGTGAGTCAGATGCAGAACTTGGATCACATGCCAGGTCTGTTGACTCAAAGTCCAGTGCCCTGTCTGCTACAGCATGCTGCCTCCCTTGTTACTCATGCTGTACCGTTTAGACTTTGAAGTCCTAGGGACAATACTGTCCTTCTGTTTTGTACAGCACCATGCACGCTGTCAGAGCTCAATTAATAGAAAAATGATGCTACTACTGAATAAGAGCAACATAAAAAAGGTAATCCTGGCCTGACTGCAAGAACAGCAAATATAGATTAATTACTTACCCTTGAGCTGCCCTTTCAGACCCAGGAATTGGGTCTAGGTTTTCACAGAGGCTTTCAGTATCTTCATTCTCACAGTTATTCTCATCAGATCCATCTCTACAGTCTGGCTCTCCGTTACATACAAGGTGGCGTTTAATACAGCGACCTGAAGTGTATATGTACATGTATCAGAGGGGTAGCCATGTTCATCTGTATCCACAAAAATGAGGAGTCCGGTGGCACCTTAAAGACTAACAGATTTATTTGGGCATAAGCTTTCATGGGTAAAAAACCCACTTCTTCAGATGCATGGAGTGAAAATTACAGATACAGGCATAAATATACTGGCACATGAAGAGAAGGGAGTTACCTTACAAGTGGTGAACCAGTGTTGACAAGGCCAATTCAGTCAGGGTGGATGAGGTCCACTCCCAATAATTGAGGAGGAGGTGTCAATACCAAGAGAGGGGAAATTGCTTTTGTAATGAGCCAGCCACTCCCAGTCCCTATTCAAGCCCAAATTAATGGTGTTAAGTTTGCAAATGAATTGTAGCTTGTCAGTTTCTCTTTGAAGTCTGTTTTTGAAGTTTTTGTTGTTGTAGGATGGCTACTTTTAAATCTGTTATTGAATATCCAGGGATATTGAAGTGTTCTCCTACTGGCTTTTGTATGTTACCATTCCTGATGTCTGATTTGTGTCCATTTATTCTTTTACGTAGAGACTGTCTGGTTTGGCCAATGTACATGGCAGAGAGGCATTGCTGGCACATGATGCCATATATCACATTGGTAGATGTGGAGGTGATTGAACCCCTGAGGGTGTGGCTGATGTGGTTGGGTCCTCTGATGGTGTCACTAGAGTAGATATGGGGACAGAGTAGGCAACGGGGTTTGTTACAGGGATTGGTTCCTGGGTTAGTGTTTCTGTGGTGTGGTGTTTAGGAGACATCTAAGTGTGGGCAGCCCTGGCTGTGGTAGCAGTATGGCTTGAGCATCCAGGGATCCAGTGACTCAGCTTATTCCCTCAGCAGGATATTAAGCTGCCATAGGCCACCTGCTTCCCTTCAAGGTGAATTCCCCACTCTGGTTCAAGAGGCCAGCAGGTGTAGGGAGAACTAAGTTACACTGCCCTGTGCCAGAGTCAGTGAATCTTTTCTTAGCTAGTAGGCAAGGTGAACTTGCTGTCTTGTTCACAGAAAACTGCACAGTGGCCACCATTTAAAAAGTCACCATTTGTTAAGTTACCCCCACACTGGCATTTACAATACCCCTATTCATGTACAGAGGAAAGCTTGGCGAAACCTCTGTGGTCAGGGCTGGCAAATGGTGGCATTATTAAAGGTGACCACTCTATTGTTTTTCACATGTATTACAATGTCTTACCTGCACTGTTCATTCCCTCTGGGGCACCTGACATTGGCACTGTTGGAAGACAGGATAGTGCACTAGATGGACCTTTGATCTGACCCAGTCTGTCCGTTCCTATATCTTAGGAAGTCACACTGCCCTCTCACCCTTCCAGGTAGAGATAAGCTATTGCAGTAGTAGAACTGCTGTCTTCTGCCTGCAGCAGAGACGGGGCAGGATTCCAGAAGACTAGGCAGGGGGCATATACTCCTTGTGATTCATGGGGCTCCATACACCCCTTTGAGCAGGAGTTTAGGGGGCCAGCAAGCTGGTGGATCTGTAATCTGCTAGCTATTCTTCACTACAGCGATGGGCAAAAGAGCCACAAGAGTTACTTCAGTGCTTTCTGCTACATCACTATAGCTTGGAAGAAAGGATTATTCCCTCCCTGCATCTACAAATCTTCTTAATGCTTATCTGGGTTACTTGGACCAGGATTTGGGCCTTATTGCTTAGAGAAAAGCAGAGTTTGAACTTGAAACCATCCTAAAACTTTCCCTTGCAATGTGCAGTGCCGCACAACTGTGGAGCCTGGGTTGGACACCTCCTAAGTTCTAAATAATGGATCCACTGTGGGAATCTTGTCAAGTTCATTTTGCTGATGCTCCAGTATGTTAATTATCTAAGATCATATTCCTGAATAGGAACTACAAGAATAAGTAGCTTCTTCAGTTGGCTAAGTGAAATTAACTGTCAGGTTAATGTACAGTTTTGCCTGTTCGAGTTGCAGAAGGTGTTTTGGGAATTTGTTACAATAATTATATTTCAGAAATGAATGTTTGCACGAGGCACAACTTGAGAATACTTGTACCATTGAAAATGAAGGGACATATCTGCAGCTGGAGTAAATTGGTGTGAAGATCTGGCCCTAGATATGGTGCACATGTTTCCTAATATCTATAATGGTATTGTATACTAGAAAGCAGAACTTGGCACTATTGTGTTGTAAGTAAAAACTATACTGATGCAACCCCATCTTGCAGGGACAGCCACCTGATCTCCTGATTCTGCTGTAGCTCGTGCTGGTAGAAAAATTCTCTGTCAAAACGCTTTTTTGATAGAAAATTGTGGGGTTTTTTTTTTTTTTTGACAAAACAAAATTTTCAAGAAAGCTATCTGTTTCCCACAAATTTTAATTTTTCATCAAAAAAAGAACACCTGAAATGAGAGAAGTTGTGATTAAGCCAATATCTGAAATCTGGGCAGACTACACCTCCCACAATGCACCACATCCAGGGACTCATAGGACACATTCCCTTCCCTTACCATGAGGAGACAACATGGTGCATCATGGGAGATGTAATCTAGCCAGAGAATTTGCGCTGAGGAACTGGTCCATTGTTCTCATTATTGACTCTATCTCATCCAGGACCAAACTTCATTTGCTGTTGTTCCCGATAGCATTTCACTCACCTGTCTCCTCACACTGAAAATCTTTTCCACAGCGTTGGCTTGCTGCACATGTTTCTGTTGCTCGGCATGCTGCCTCATCCCAGAGATGACCAGTGCATTTACTCCCTTTGAACTTGGCAGGCTGTAGCAAAGTTCTGTATCTGTACTAAATCACATTAAATAGGCAAAGAAATTGGCCAATTAACAAGAACTTTATATCCAGAAATGATAAGATTTCGATTAAATATTAAGTAGTAGTAAAAACAAATCTCCTTTATAAATTAACCTGTTAGAAAGTGTTTTAATTATTTAGGAATAAATAAATATTACTGCAGCCAGCTATGGAAGTTAAAGGGCTTAGCAAGAATGAAAATAAGGTGAAAGACAATGGGCTGTTGTAAATCTGGTGTACATCCATTGACTTCAGTGGGGTTACTCCTAATTTAAACCAGTCTGAGTTGAATAACACCTATTATTTTGAACTAAGCGGCTCTTTTACAGTGGTGGAATAGATTACTTATTAATTTCAACATCATGCAGGTACCGCAGGCCTTTCGGATGGAGTATGTAAACTTTCCAGCCCTCATTTTCTGTTAACTGCACACATTTTAACTAATGTTCCTGTTCCATTAGGCCCAATGCCTGGTAAAGTTAGTTAATTTTTCCAAATTCTGGACCTTGTGCCTTTGTTCTATGCCTTTGATGTGGCATTAAGCTTTTCCAGTTACATATGTTTTGTAGTGGAATGTGGTGTGAGCTATAGGAATATCAGATGCAGACAAACAAAAATCACAACTGAGATCCTGAAAGGCGCACAGCATTTGTGGCTGATTAATGGTGGATGCTGCTCCCTATCAAACTGAACAAAAAGAAGAGGAAGAGCAACCCCATTTGGAGTATGGCTCTTCCTTTCCCACTCATTCCATATGCTTGACCTCTTGGTTTCTGCCTACAATATAAGTGGAAAATAGAAGTTATGACCAATACTTAATAGTTGTGAAGAAACACGTGAAATGATACAAAAATCAGAGTAAACAGAGCTGATGAACGAATGCTTTTCAAAGCATTTCTATATCTGAATATTTGCATTGAGTCAACAGAAATTCAATTAAACCCCAGCTAGATAAAGAAGAAAACTATTAGCCAAATATTGCGGGCCTGATTCTTCTCTCCTTTGCACCAGTTTTGCACCTTAGTAACACTTTTGGCTTAAATGAAATGATTCCTAATTTACACCAGCGTAAGTAAGAGGTGACTCAGGCCCCGTGTTTCTAATACAAGAGAATGTTTATCATATTTGGATGAGTTTACTGGATGTTTCAGAAACTATAAATATGCATAATACATATAATTAATCTCTGTACATGCTCATTACAGACACATCTGAAGATAAGTGAATACATTATGGTTGAGACTTACTTTTTTCTCTTGGCAAGGAAAGCAACCCGTCCATTCTGACCACTGGCTTAGCTGACAGTTCACAGGAGCCGGGGTATTGACATCTCTGCTGGTTCTTCTGAAGAGATTAAATGATACCAGCCTAAGTTTTGGAGTAGAGTTTTAAGAAGAGGTAATAGCTGTGGAGCCAAGCAGCAGGAAAATCATATCCGTTTTCCGTACAAGCACAGATTTTAGAGGAAACTAGAAACTTTTGCTGGAGAGAGTTGGATCCAAACCACAGGTGGTGTAAATCAGTGTAACTGCACTGAGGGTCATTGAAGCTACACCAGGTTGCACCAGCTAAAAATCTGACCAATAGAATTTGCCAGTGGCAGAAGCAAAAACAGAAACTGAATGTCTTGATCTCCTGTTTCCTGCTCTACCAATAGATTACATCCTTTTCCAGAATGGTGTATGTGATTATGTTTGGTTTTTACAATACCCACTAAGCTCCTAATAAATAATGGATTATACCCATGTTCTAGAAGATGGTCAGAAACAGAATGCTGGAAATGGAAGAGGAAGCTGTTTTGAATTCACACTGAGAATCCAAGTAAAAATAACAAGCAGCATTTTGACCTTGAAGTCTCTTTTGAGGACAATTTGTAAAGGAAAGCATATAATTAATGTGAGGAAATTTTAAGGTGGAGGCTATGAATATAATAGGCACAGAAGATACAGTAGGAGAGGGTATTGCAAACGGATACGGTGCAACTACTACATTAAGGAAAAAGAAAGCAAAATAATCTGTAGTGAAGTGGAGGAATGGCAAAAATATAAAAGTTTAGAGTGAAATCCTTTTTGCTTTTCCTCTCACAGCTCACCCCAAAATTGTCAAGATAATGTAATTGCAAGTGCATGAACATGGCATTCCAGTGTCAAAATAGAGTTTAAAAACATTAATGGAAATTTGGAAATGATTCTGAAATGCACAGATGGAATGAAACCATGTCAATACAATTCTAAATGTGATTGGGCTAAATTCTACCCTTCCTTATGCCTGTGAAATCCCTTTGCCGTCAGTGTATTACACTGGATTTTTATCGGTATAACTGAGAGGAAAATAACAATTCAAATCTCTAAAGACCAAGGGTCAAATCCTCTTCTGGTATAAATAAGTGAAACTCCACTGAAGTCAACAGAGCTCGGCACATTTACACCAACCAGTAATTTGCCCCAGTGTTTTGATAACACAACCAAACAATATCCGTGTGAGTATATGGAATCCGCTTTATAATTTTACAGTCTAATTTAATGATACTGTTGAAATGCACTGTACACTACCGCATATAGGGAAACTAAATCCCCCAAAAGAAAGGACACTCAACAACTATTAAGGCTGAGGCATAGAGGGCCTTGTACAAGACTCCTCACTCACTTCTTACTCAAGGAAAACTCTCATTGTCCTCAAAGGGAGTTTTAGCCACATAAGGAGTAAAAAAAAAAAAATGCTGTATAAGGTTCAGAAATTCAGTGTGCACAAACAATTCTCTGTAGGCCTAATCCAAAGCCCATTAAAGTGCACGGAAAGACTCTCATTGACTTCAACTTTGGATCAGATCCTCAAAGAAGCTCATTCATAGCACCAGTAAAATATTTGTCTCACCACCCAGAGCAGTACTTATGAGCATTTGCCCCTCAATCTTACAACTTGTATTTGTATAAAGCAGTGTTTTGTGTTGTGGACTACTGTACCAAAATATCTGTGTCTGCCTTAGCTCAAAACACATTTTGTGGGTTTATTTCTAACCCTCAGCATGATGATTATTTTGGGCGATTAACTAATGAGCAATCTGTTTTACTTAAGAAACTATGGTCCAAAGAGAAACACTGATAATTAGAGGAGGTATGGGGTACATTAGGGATTCATCGGAAGCTTGAGAAGAGAGAATACTAAATGAAACACACAAGCTCAGCAAAGGAGCCTATGGATACAGATCAGTGCTAGATGAAAACACACTGGATCTGCAGACAAACACCAGAAACCTGAAGACAGAACACTCTGGAAAACATATATGTTCATCCTGACAGTAGCTATATCCTATATCCTTGGTGGCTATATCCTTCAGCACTTCATAAAGTATTTAATTGGCTCACCTTCACCTAGCTTTTAAAATTTTACCTCTTCATTATTCTGCCTTGTTTGATAAGTTCATCAAACATCAAAAATCTCTGCTTTGTTCACTTTCAGAAGGGATTACCAGAGTAAGCCTTCATAATTAAATGTATCTCTAACAAGCATATTTTTTCTTTCTATGTCCTCCCTGCCTCCATGTTCCAATTATCACTGATACCTTTTTTGAGCCTTCAAAATCATATTTGCCTTTAAAACAAGTTTGCAATTAACAACTGTAGAAAAATCCAATCTTTTTTCTGTCATAAAACTGTTTTCTTTAAAGAAATGTCACTTGTTTATTCCTTTTTAAAGCCAAAATGACATTCATAATGAGATATAAAATGGGAAATAAATATAAAGACATATATAATTCCCATTTAATTCATTATTTGAATGTTAAGCAAATCAAATAATGTTGATTAAACATTCAAATCATAAATATGAAACAATTGTAGTGTTGCAACCACTACAATTGAAAGCAAAATATTAATTATAAATAAAGCTTGATCGAGGAGATAGCTACACAAATATACACAAATATAGCACAGTAAATTTAAAATAAATGAATATTCTCCCTTAAAAGAATAAAGTACATACAAACAGTGCATATAACAAGGAACGCCAATTACTAGACCATTATTTGGATGATTGCCAATATTCTTTTCTGGTAGCTGTTTACAGATAACAGTGCCCATATGCCTCCGTTTGAGACTGAATTGATAGGCTAGCCAGATAGACAGTAATGTAAAGCTGTATCTTAAATTATATGGAGATAGACTTACCTCTGGGAAGGCAATCCTGTTACCGCACTATGTGCGGTAACTGTATCCTGACATATTAGATAGGCTATCAAGAGAATCAGAGGAGAAACTTCATTCAGGCTCCACCACATTTCTTTTACATATGTAAATATTTCATATAAAATAGTTGAAAACAAGTTTTTCCTTTGGCTTGGAGACCCTTTGGTTCCAGTGCTGATGGGTAGAATAGAAAAACCTCCAGATTCTGAGCATTGCAGAATACTGTAAATCATTGACAAAAGCACAGATCAAATCACAGGGGCCCAAGATGCATTCTGAAGGTCATTGCCTTTTTTGAAACAAATTCCCAGATATTAGCAAGGGAATATATTTAACCAAGTTTCTATTTACACATTAAAGTCAAATAAGTCTTATCAGTGAAATGATCATCGGACCAACCTCAGGCACTCTGACTAATTTTGTGGGAGAGGGATTCTGATTTTATTTAATTTTGTAACTTGTATGTAATTTTTTGTTAACTAAAATTAACTGTGGGGAAGTTTGGCAGTATGGCAAATTGAATATTGTAGAGTTCTGTTACAGGGAACAAAAAGTGCCATGCACTATAAGGAATACTAAAGGTAATGGCAATTCATTTTTCTCCATTGCCTGTCTCAATAAAATAGTTTCCAGAGTCCAAGGATGTGGGTGAGTTATTGCCTGACTCATAATGGCTGTCGAGGTTTGCCTATGCAGTCACTGCATCACCGGAATCTAAATCTTTGTTTTCTAAAGTGATCTGGGATGAAAAAGGTGCAGCTGAAATCTAAAATTCTGTTCTGTTCTATATGCTCTGTGAACCCAGCTGTCAAATCTGTCTGCAGCCCACAGTTCTGATGACCTTTAATATAAATGGCTGCTTTGCACAGTCAAATGCCTTCTCCATGAGATTATAGAAGCATTAGAGCTCCTTTTTTTTTTCTTTCAAGATAACAGATCAGAAACATCCCATACATAATGAAAGTTATTTGTGGAATGCCCCCTAGAAATAAGGCTGGGCTGGTTTGTGCAATCTGGCACATCAACAATTTCTAACTGCTGGGCTTGGTCATTTATTTATTTTATTAGAGGGGGGGACTTGATATGGAGAGATTTAAGCAGTAAAGCAATGCACATCCTGTTAGAGGTGAAATTAAAGAAATGCTTTCCAAGGTGTTCCATACCGAAAGTGAGATTATATGTATGTTATGATTCCATTTATAACAGTATGAATTGAACTCGTCTGAAATGTGCGTTGGATCTCTGCTTCTAATTCTTTGAACCTCTTTGCTTGAAATGCTGGCAATGCATTAGATGGTATAAATTGTGCCTCTAACTTCAGGAAAGCATCCCCAGAGCTTCAGATTGGGTCAAAACAATGAGCTGGATAAATGGGAATAAAAGAAGACTCTCCAATGGGGGTTAGGCTATGGGCTTGATCCTGTACCTGTTGAAGTCAGTAGAAAAGCTCCCAGTGGTTTCAATGGAAGCTCTGGATCAGGCACTATGTTAATATTTTTATTCCAAATCAGTTTCCCCTGAAGTTGAGGTACTCTGTATTGCCGGCATTTAATTAGAAGCCTTATAACTTTTCATTTAAAGCCCTTGTGTACTTAAAATCAAAGGCAGATTAGCTCAGTGTAAACAAATTTGGTCACACGCGTTCCTTGCTGTTCTGTTCCAGTTGAATAGATTTAGATGGCTCTTGTGTGAATTGCATCTCTACTTTCTTAATGTTTTGCTCAAGCTGCATGAGGGAATCATTCTTTTTTCTCACTGATAACAATATAGTACGGTATTTTGTTTCACTTCAACAGGTCTCCAGCTCAGTCATGAATACTACAGTGTCTTATCCACAAGAGCTGGAATTAATTTCTGCATGCAGAAACCATCGATCTTGTAAATATCACCTGAATGCCATATATGGTAAGACAGCTGTATTGAACAATAAGCTTACAAAAGCCCGGGCTTACGGTATAATTATCACACTAACATACATTAAATTTCTGTGCAGCAATTTAGAACTAGCACTTTTATGGTTACATTTTTTCCTGTATTCAAATCTCTTCCACTGTAAGGAATCAGATTCTTTGAGAGAACTACCCTTCGCATACTTTTTTTTTTTATAGACATTTTGAGGTACACTATTTTTAATACTATAAATTTTAATTCCTGAATATGAAGCTAATTTAGGACCTGATCCAAAGACCACTGAAGTCCACTTCTTTTCTAGTTCCTATGCCACACTCATCATTGTAGTAACTGAGTGCTTTCCAGTAGTGCATTATGCAATGTGCCTAACATCTGTCACATGTTTGTGTTCTCATTTTCTCCCCAGGAGGAGAATTGTATGCAGTGGAGTGTCTTCTGGTGGTAGGGTTGTGTGGTGTTGTTTTTTGTATGCACGTTGCTATGTATTAATGTTAGAGAAGGCAAAGTCAAATAAATGTGCCTCGCACTTAGAGTGGAAGGTGATGAATTTGTGATGGACCTTAGTTCCTGGGGGAGTTCATTCCATAGTCTCAGACTGGACCCCGCGAAAGTTTTACCTTCCATGCGGTTGAGCTTTACCTTTATTGTTGAGAGTTCCACTGTGCCAGAGGAACAGAGTTGTCAACTGTGGTCTTCATCCCAAAGCTTTAGGTGGCCTTTTAAATATCTTGGCCCCAGGCTATGAAGCACCTTGAAGCTAAGGACTGAGACTTTGAACTTAATTCAATATCCTATGGAAAGCCAGTGTACAGGGTGGAGAACAGGTTTGATGGGCCTGCGTGCAATGAGTCGTCTCTGAGCCTGACAAGTGCTGCTCAGTCATCCCACAGCCTGAGCCTGCTGAGTCGTTCCTAAGCCTGATTATTTGAGGGCTCCATGTCAATCAACCAGCACTCAGCCAGTCCACAGGCAAAGGTCTAACCAGGTGACCCCAAGGCCAGGGATATAAACTCCCAAAGAGAGCAGCCATTCCAGTCTGTTCAACGTTGCTACCTCAGAGAGAATATCCCCTGCTGCTTCTGTCCAGCCCCACCCTGTGCCTGTTCCTGTTCCAACCCCGTTCTTGATTCCTGCTCCAACCCCAGGCCCGACTGCTCGGCCGGACCGCCGATGCTCCAATCACTAGGCCTGACCATCCATTTCTCAGTTTCTGACATCGTGATAGCCTGTGTTGTTGAAGAGATGTGCTGCAGTGTTCTCTTTTAGTTGGAGTTTCCTAAGCACTGAAGGCTTCATGCCCAGGTATATTGCATTGCAATAGTGCACCCAAGAGGTGACAAAGGTGTGAATAATGTCAGGATAGGATGCAGTCTCCTCGCCAACTGGAGATGGTAGAAAGTGTTGTTCACAGATGTTGCTATATGAGAGCATAGCCTCAGTGAGGAATCCAAGAGTTCTAAAGTATAGACTATATTGACCAATGTGTGTACCTTCAATGAAAGCAGACTGCACTGTGGCTGCTAACTCTTCAAAGGCTTTCTTTTGCCCATCACCATCACCTCCATTTATTTAGGTTCAGCTTCAGCCAACTGTTCTGTCCATGAACTGATCTTGTCCAGTCGCTGGGCCATTTTGGTGGTAGTGGTGTGATTGTATGGATGAAGGATAAGTAGAGCTGTGTCCCCTCTACATTTTGCTGGCACTTGATTCCAGTTGCCTGATCATTTTCTCTAGTGGTTGCGTGTAGCTCTTGAAAAGGACCAGAAAGAATTGATCTCTATGGGATTCAACAAGTGAGGAGTCTAATAGTGGAGGTACAGTTCTCCATTGACTTCAATGGGCTTTGGTTCATGCCCATAGTATGTGATCCATCCAAGCATATGTTTAACTTTAAAGACATGAATAGTCCTTTTCATGCAACGGGACTTCTTGCATTCTTAAAGCTTAAAGATGCTTAGGTGCCTCAATGGATCAGGACCATATTATGACAACCAGTCCCTTAGTAATACCTACAACAGATACTTGGATAGATAAAAGACAAAGCTAAAGAAGTCTATTTTTTTTTAATTGTGGTTTTTCATTGCCCTTCCTACAATGCCTGAATAGAGCTCCTCTTAAAAGTTCTGAAATTAATCATGTGATAACTTTGATTGGACTGACAAATACTTTTTAATTGAACAAGTAGAAAACTATCATCATCTACATTGTCTACTTTTAAGATCAGTAAAGCTGCAAACCTCTAAAATAGCTAAACAGCTACCATGATTCTAAACCCTGAGGTAGACAGATAAGCCTAGCACTCCCTCTAGTGGACAAAAATGCAATAGAATACCTTTCTATGGAAATAACTAGAAGCTTGGTTTAGAAGGAATGATCCATCTCTGAAAGTGACTTTAGCAGTAGGCTCTGCACCACTTTAGCTGGGTAGCATTACATGAGGGGTAAGTGATGCACAGGCCTTGAGCTCGCCCTCTGCAGAGTGTGGTATACAGCAAGGCCTCCAGGAAGAGTAGAGATGCTACACTTCCTGTGCACTCTTTTTGCAGACTTTGGTTTCTGTTGACATGCTTTGTGCTGGGACATTAACGAAGAAGCCCAGCACAGGGCAGTTGCAGGCTGCAGCTACACAGAGCAGCAGCAAGTTTGTTAAATCCTTTCTGTACATAGTTCTCTTTATAAAAAGGGGTATCTTGACACCAGTCTGTTCATCATAAAGACACTGCACCGAGGATCAGTTTCAGCCTGTTAGAATCTGATGCTGCTCAGTACATATAGTTAAATGTGAGTTATGTTTTAAAGTCAGTCCTGTCAACACAGGTTCCAAATTTCTTCGAAGTTCTGGGGTGTTTCAATGTGAGGTGTTTAGTTTGGGTCCATCACTAGTACAGAGCTGTATTCTTGGTAACCACTGACAACTTTGGGGAATTCATAGATTCTGGCTGACTGGCCTATTGGCAGTTTTTGTGCAGCCATCATCATGGCATTGAGGCACCACTGTATCCAAACAAACCTATGTCAGCATCTCTGAAAAAGAGGCTGCTTTTAGGTGCCTCATTAGAAATTTACATGTGTCGTGAGGTACACTAACCATTTGCTTCCTTGGCCTGTGTAGCTGGGCCAAGGTAACCTAGGCAGAGCCAAGGGTTAAACCTCTTCTTTTTTGTGTCAGGCTTGCTGCTCGTTTGGAACGAGAATATGGAGCTGTTAAGTGTCTGGGGAACAGCTGGAGCAGGAGCTTCTTAACCTAGTGGGCCTAAGTACCATGTATAACAGGAGACAGAAAATAAGGAGTGGCTTGTCTAGTCTTTTCTCTC